ACAGTAGAGTTCTCACTCTCATTTTAGCTCATCTTCACTCTATCGCTTTCAAATTGGAGGTGGTCCCGGCTCGGCTGAAGGAAGCAGGCAGCTAAAACAGACAGTCAGAGTGGACAAATGGAATTAATATAAAACCTTCATGTCATTAATGACATCAGTTTACTGACAAAACACCCTATCATCATCAGTCATACTCAACACTCTGATGGTAAATGAATTTTATATGTATTTCAGCACTTTACTGCAGACCCGATGGAGGATCTCCCTACTTTCCCTCTGTCGCCTGAACTCACTTCACTGTTACAGGTGAAACGGCTACGATTTCTCTTCCATTAGCCAAAATGTTCTCTGCATTATTATGATTCCGATTCAAGTGATGGGGTTTGAGTTTAACCTCAAAAAGAAAAAGAAAAAGAAAAAAAAGAAGGAGGGAATCCTTTTTAACCATGTTAACTCTTAACTGAGCACAGATATACAAAAGAGTGTTAGTCAGTGTTATAAAGTTTACCTTTTACAGATGCAGAGCAGTAAGAGTTTAGATAAATGAGACGAAGTGTGTGCTGAGCTGGCTGTTGGAGTTTGGACCAAAGAGGCGAAACCTCACAAGACCAGGGGCCAGAGGGTTGGCCAGGGGTGGCACAGACCCCTCCTGAAATCTGATTGAGTCCTATCATCAACCTCCTACCTTCATCAAACCTCCTCTGACTCTGTATGAGTCGACTGTTAGCATGTCTTGTTGGAAAGTCTGTCTACAAAGAGGCACTCATTGATGCCAAAGAGATGAAAAACAAGAAGAAGATGCAGAGTGAGTGAAAAGTGAAAGTGATGAAAACAATGACAAAGTGTACAAGTACTTACAAAATAAGACAAATAAATGACTGAGCAATATACACAGCTCTGTGTCTCTGTTTGCTGTCAGTCTCACCTGTTGCTTCTGCTCTAGCTGGCTCTGCCACAGCAGCATGTTGGCCTCCTCTTCTTATTCATCTCTCTCTTCGTTAGATGTCGTCCCTTCCTGACCCTGTCCTGCTGCTTCAGCAGCTCTGGTTAAAGCATGGAAATACTGCAAACATTAATTGTATAGCTGGTCAGACTGTTGGGAGAGACAGAGAGAGACTGTACCATTTTCAGCATTGAGGGGTGGGGGTTTCAGATGACAAGTTCAGATGTGTTTTCAGCACATATTTATATGTTATTATTTACATGTTTATGTGTAAATACATATAAGTCAGCAAGTAAATTGTCATACTTGACACAACCTCTGTATGGGCCCCCCCTGGGCTTTGGCGTGGGGTCATCTGTACCCACTGACGATGGGCCTGGTGGAGGACATTTCCTTCAGCCCTCCATCAATGAACACTGGTCTCAAAATGAGAAGAAGAAAAAGTGTGTGTTTGTGTGTGTGTGAACTTTGCTGTGTTGTGTTGTGTGTGTTTATGTGATTGAATATACTGTGTGTGCAGACTATTATTGGAGCCAATTCACATCAGCCTCTGTCTGTTTGACTTGAGCATCCTAGCTGATAATTAGAGTCTAATATGAGACAGACCAATAGGAGAACAGCAGCCTGAAGCTACTCGTCTGATGGTTTTTGAGAACAAACAGACCTTTCTGGATGTGGAGCACATTTCATCCTGACAACACGACTCTCGTTTCATTCCTGTTGTGTTTGTTGGCAGAACCGTTCAGCAGCCTTTACTGTGCTTTTGGGTTCAGGCCACAGGAGATACAGAGAAGCAAACACAGAGAATAAACACGTTGTGTAGTTACACAAATCCAAATCAAAACCACACAGAATGTAAACATCTAACTCCCGTGTGTGATGTTTGTCGTGTCAAAATACTTTGTTGTCTCCAGATGAGTGGTCAGGTTTGTCAAAGGAGACATCCAACATTTGAAGAGGCTGACCTTGGTTTGTTGTTTGAACTGGAAGTGTTATCATTGTACAGCAGCAGGAAGCCACCAGTTCATTACAACTGGTGGTTGGTCAGTAAACTGGGATTGTTCTTTTGCTGGTGTGTCACTCCACTCAAAGAGTTTTATTTTGTAACGATGTCTTACGGACATTGTAAAGCTATGTTTTATTATGGATTTATTGTTTGCATGAACCAAAATGATCAGTGAAACATTCAGTTTTTTCTTCAGTCTTTCACCACAAATTGTTCAAGTGTGTGACATCATTTATAAGAAGGTAAACATGAGGGTGATCTGATGGCCGAACGGTTGGGTTGCATACCACGTGGACTCAAATGCCCTGACCAGCAAGTCCCCGATTCAACTCCCAGCTCACCATCATTTGCTGCATGTATTTTGTTTCTATTGAATAAAGGCACAAAATGTCCAAAAGATAACTTAAAAAAAAGAAGCTTAAAATCAAATTAGTCTCTCTTTTTTGGAGGACAATATCATACGCATTAAATACCCAAAGGAATAACACCTTAATGAAGAAGTCCTTTAAAAATCTTTTTTATTGTCGTTCATGTCATGAACATAATCTTAAATATGATGACAGAGAACGGTGGTGCAGAGATAGAGAGAATAGAAGTTAAAAGAGAGAAGGTGCTAAACTGAGATTATCTGAGGTGTGTGACAACAGAAGGCGTTAGCAGGTGCTCTCCTCCTCACAAATGGACAGATGGAGAGAGAGATGAAACAAGAGGAAGGAAGAGAGAGGTAGAAGATTAAGGGCCAATGCACATACTGTAGGAAACAGGGTTGGGTCCATCTGTCCATGCTTTGGTTTCACACTGAGGTTTAAATCTCACCAGTTGGTGTACACACGCAGACCTGCTGCACTATACCTGTGGGGACACTCGCTGATATAATGCATTCAACGGCCCTTTACCCAAACCTTAACCTTAACCATCACACTCCTAACAACACCTAACCCTGAACCTGAGTCTACCCCATCACTAAAACCAAGTCTTAACCCTCAAAAAACAGTCAGTTTTTGTCCCCATGGTGACACCTCCATGGGTCAGTGTGCACTCAGGTTAAAGTCCCCACCAGGATATAAGAACAAGCTCACACACACTCACAGAGTTGTAGAGATACACAAGACAGGGAGCCACGAAGGCTGTCAAAACTTGGCAATAACCAGACAGTTTACGTGACTCAAATATAATCAAACAGCCTCTTTTACCAGAGGTCACCATGGTGACTCATCTCTTCTTCCTCTCTCTGTCCCTTCTTTCACTCTCTTCTTCTATCTTTCAACTCTCTGCCATATTCCTCCCATCATTATCTCTCTACCTGTCTCTTCTTCTATATTTGTCTTTCTTTCTTTTCCTTTCCTCTCACCTGTCTGTGACTGCCGTCTCCTGCCTGTCCCTGTTCTCTGTTTTTCTGCCTCTCTGATCTGAACCCTGGTCTCTGGTGTGACAGCTGTGTCCTTGTATGCCATCCATCCACGCCAAGCATCTCCTGGCGAATCCTCTGCCCGTAATAACTGTAGCGCTTCCTCCATTCAAAAAAAATACTTTGTCTGTGAACATAATCCAACCAGCAGAACATGTTTGTTGTTGCAGTTTAGTTGTATAGAAATGTTGTTTGTTGGAGACAGGTTGAAAAGTGTAATAATGCTGTAGTGTACTCTGCACACCTTTATCTACCCTTTCAGTCTTTCCATCTCTTCTCTCTCCATCTTCACATTTCTGTCCTTCCTTCCTCCTCCTTATCTCTTTCTTGTGACCTCCGGCTCTGTCTGTCTTTCTATCTCTTCTTCCTTCCTTCACTTTTTTTCTTCACTTCTTTTGTAAAAACATTTTTTCATTTTTCTTTTCACCTACTTCCGTTTCCTAGAATTCTTTTATTTCTTTTAGTATTGGATGTTTAAATACACCCATTTCAGTTCTTGCTTGAAGTTCAAGGACCGCTGTCATATGAGCAGTGAAGACGAGAGAATAGAACTGAGCCTGGACTCTTTCTGGTAAACACACTCTGCTTCTCGAGAGGGATTCGACATTGAAAAGTAAAAAAAAAGAGTTGGATGTTCTTGAAGGTCTGTAAGTGTTCTGAGTTCCACCTTATGTTATTATTCTTTACCTGAAACTAAGATCTTACCCAACCATTTTATAAATACTGAGGTGATGTCAGCAGTCCAAGCAGACGACATACTTTAATTTACTAAATTCTATGAATTCCTAGAGAAAATCACTGAGATTATCGTTGTCCTCTATGGAAGCTTCGTGCACATAACAATCAAGAAATAGTGCGCACTCAAATGACTTCACGCTTTCACACAATTTACGCACATTGTTGTTATATTCAAGGAACACCCTTGTCACACTTGAAGCCTACCCTGACAATACCCAATACCCACAGCTTTATGCCTGCTACCAGGTAACTTGCCACGGTGGACTAGACAAAAACAAACTCAAAAGAAATCCCTAAAACCAAACAAAAACAGTTTGGTACATCAATCTACTTTCCTACCGACTACCTGCACTCCCCTGCACACCTGCGTATAAAATGAGGTGTGCACCTGCCCCGCTCCACCGGCCTGAACCAACCTTGCAACCTGCGCTCCGCCTACAACCCTGCATCTCACTAATTGACGCAACTGCCATATTTCTACTCAGCGCCACCTGCTACATGTACTCGCCAGCCAATATCCAGCTGAGCAGATGTTAGCTGGAGCTGTTTGCTAACTGGACATGTACACACTGCCTGTATGCCTGTGACTGTGAGAGTGTGTACTTTTGTGACAGCCTATTTTAAAACTCCAGATCTTTCTGTTTCTCTCCTCTCTGCTCCTGTCTCACAGCGTTGATGAAAAAGAGTCAAAACAGCTGCAGTTTTTTTTTTTTTTTTTTTGCTTACGTTGAAACATGATGTGTTTTTGTCAAACGAACAAACTCTCTGAGGAAGAAGCTGTTGTCAGAACAACAGACTGTCTGGTCTGTTGTGAGTTCTGTGTTTGGAATTTGAAGGTTTTTTCAGTGTGTCACAAACTAACTCCCTTCTTTTTTCCTTCTCTCTCTCTCTCTCTCTCCCTGTAGGTGAGCTAGTCGCACCACCCTCAGCTCTACCAACGCCTCCCCCTCCCACCTTCCTCAGCCTAAACCCATCGTCCTCTGCCTCCACCCTTCTCTCCCGCTTCTCGTGGGAACTACACGCTGTCATGTCTCCCTTCGCCTCACCCACCTCCATCCTCCTTCTCCTCCCCCTCCTCCTCCTGCTGCCTCCCTGTCAGCCAGAGTCCCAGCGTATTGAGCCCAGCGGCGACCCCGACCTAAGAGCGGTCTCACCCTCCATATTCCCCTCGTCCTTCCTGCCTTCCGTGTCTTACGGTAACAGCACCAAGCCCAGGGGCAAGTGTGAGGAGGCGACAGTGTGCAGGCCTGGCATCCTGCTGCCCGTCTGGCAGCCCAACCAGCCCGGGCTCGGCGACCAGGTGGCCAGAGCTGTGGTCTACTTCGTGTCACTCATGTACATGTTCCTGGGAGTGTCCATCATCGCGGATCGCTTCATGGCGTCTATAGAGGTCATCACATCACAGGTGAGGACGGGTGAATGGAGGAATAGACTGGTGGTGTAGTCAAGGAGGGAACAGTGGGAACATGCCATTAACTGCTTCATGTGAGCGACTTATGTGTATGTGCAGATGTCTGCCACTTGACCTTTTTCTGAACTGAATAGAACATAATGGAAAATAATTCTTACTTCTGTCACTTTAGATCACGATCAATTTGATATTATGATTTTTTTTTGTTTTTTAATGACATGCTGTATCATGATTCATTTTCTAGGAGGCAAACTGACTGTGGGTGTATCCTGCCTTCACTCAATGCATGATGGGATAGTTTCCAGTTTGGACAACAATTTACAGTGGCCTTTTTTTAAGTATCCATTTGGCCTGTGATCATTTTTCAGTGAATTGTTTAGTCCATAAAAATTTAAATTGTGAAAAATGCCTAAAGCTTAAAGTCTTGAAGTCTCCCTGGTTACACAGCGGCCACATTGTTCAGCTCCTGCCGGACACTGTTGTTGCATGTCAAACCCCCGTCTTGCTCCTGTTGATTCCTGTCTGCCTCCTCACTATCGAATGTCCAATGAAGGCAAAAATACCAAGAAGAAAAATCATCTTTAAAGCAGTGAATCGTTACAGCTGAGAAGCTTGAACCAGTTCATGTTTGACACTTTGCTCTTTAAACTGGATGAACGTACCGGATGGGAATTGTGTTTTCGCTTATTTAATATTCATTTTTCCCAGATTTGAAAAGCTAATTGGGTACAACGAATCACTATAGTTGTCTGAGCGTGTCCTCTTCAAGGGAAACATGCATTGCTGTCAGAAGTAAATGAAGCACAGCACCCATGAAGCCTGTAGATAAAGAGGCAAGGGTCTGATTTCAAAACATTCAATGTAGAAATCTAACATTAGAAAGGACAGTTTGTCTTACAGTCTTAGGAGGCACCAGCCATCAACACAATGGTTACCGAAAGAATTTCACTGTGACTCATAACAAACTTCATTTGTTTAACTTTTAAGTCAGGAATCTTTTCGTTTTCTTGTTTTTGTCACTTTTTATTTTAATGAGAACGATGGAGCACTCATGAGTGAACTGAAAGCTGAGATCACTTGCTGATTCACCATCTGTCTTCTTCACGCTCTTTGATAGTCCAGTTTTTGCTATGGGCCTTAATATGAGAAGAAAAAAAAAAAACAATGAAAGTTTTTTTAACATTTTAAATTTTTTTTAAAGATCATTTTGTTTTAAAATATATATAAAACAAAACAGCCAGAGCCAATAAATCAATTATATATATATATTTATAATTACATCCTTCCACCAAAATTGCAGTGTTTTGCAAATGATTTGTCGGCCCACGTGCAGTACCTCTGCAGCCCACCCCTGCAACCACTGCTCTAAAACGTCTACCTTCCGTGGAGTTTTGTTCAGTTTCATATTGTTTGCAGAAACTGTGCTGACTGTGCAATAAGACAGCTAAAAATAGCTGTACTTCATGTTAACCCATTATGAGGCAGTGTAAGTGCATTCTGGTCTGGGATTTAGACCTAAATGATTCATTAAGGCCTGATATGTTGAAGGGCAGTGAGTGTGTTTGTTGACCATTGATGGAGTGAAGCTGCCAATGAATGTGTCTGCGTCATCATATCACCATCTCTTTACTGCAAGCTCGGCCTGATAAGTGTCCTTCATGGGCTCACATACATTTCCCTCTCCATCCATTTACCCCCCTCTGTAATAGTGTAAATGACCCTCAGCTGTTTTCACAGACAGAGACAAAGACGGTGTCTTTTACCCAGGAGGACAATAGTCATGAAGTGTGTCTAAGTGAGCACAGCAGGAATCACTGAGGTGGAGTCTATCCCTCTTAGTGTATACTGTGGTGGACTTAGTGGAAGAGTGTGTGTGTGTGTGTGTGTGTGTGTGTGTGTGTGTGTGTGTGTGTGTGTGTGTGTGTTGTCCCAGACGGCCTGTACTGGTTCAGGTGCTGAGGTTGTGCCGTCATAAGCGCTGTAGAAAAAGAGAGGAAGGGTCCTGGGAGGTTTGGATGGAGGCTGATGCTCAGTGTGAGAGAGGAGGACAAGGAGACGTGATGGTCAGCTGGAGGGAGGAAAGAGAAGAGGAAGGACAATGAAAAACAGACTCACTTATTATCATAGACCTAGAAGTATTAAAAGTATTTGCATTAAAATATACTTGCAGAATGGCCATTTCCAAATACTGTCTATGATATCATTGGATTATTATTATTATTGCTGGATCATGTGTCCATCACTTTAATGTTGCAGCTGGTAAAGATGGAGCTCATTTTAATAACTTTATACACTGCTGGGTACTATGTGAATCAATAAACCTAATATTATCTTAATATATTATATTTTGTATTATTCCAAAAACAAAAATAATGTTGTATTTTGTTTTATTAACTTTGAATTATTATGAGTGTGCAAATGAATTAGTAACTTCAGTTGTAAAATAAATACAGTGGAGTAAAAAGTACAGTTTTGTAGTGTAGTATAAGTACTGTATAAAGCAGCTCAACACTGTGAGACAGGAGTTATCAATGTTATATATCTGGTCCCAGTGCAGAGTAAACAGCAGAAATATGTTTTCATGTGACAGAATAAACTGTTGCAGTTGCATATATCTGACGGGCCACCGCAGTTTCTCGCCGGATGATGTCACATTGCAGTAAAAGTTAAGCCTGGTTCGACTTTTTTCCTGGACGACCCTGTGTCTTTTTTTTTTTCTCCCTTGGCACCCTGCTGCAAAGTCGAACTGGCCTCATTTAAATAAATCATAAATGACTTTTCTGATTCAAATCACTTCTTACAATTCTGTTCAACGCTCAACAGACACACTGATGGGAACGTATTTGAAAGGAATGTGAAGGAAAGGAAAATATGTGTGATAATGATAAGGTAGTGAGGGCATGAATAGAGAAAGAGAGTTGGAGGTAAAAGGATGGGAGGCGGGGCGGTTGGGGCGGGGGGGGGCTGGGCTTAAGAGAAATGAAAGGGTTAATGGAGGAAGGAGGGTGTTCATCCATCCTTTTCAAGGTCAATGTAAATGAATGTCTGATTGTGTCCCACAATCCATCACTGTGGCAGCCACAACAACACCTCAACTATTTTGGCATGGTTTGTCCTTTATGTGTGTGTGTGTGTGTGTGAGTGTGAGTGTGTGTGTGTGAGTGTGAGTGTGTGTGTGTGAGTGTGAGTGTGTGTGTGTGAGTGTGAGTGTGTGTGTGTGAGTGTGAGTGTGTGTGTGTGAGTGTGAGTGTGTGTGTGTGAGTGTGAGTGTGTGTGTGTGAGTGTGAGTGTGTGTGTGTGAGTGTGAGTGTGTGTGTGTGAGTGTGAGTGTGTGTGTGTGAGTGTGAGTGTGTGTGTGTGAGTGTGAGTGTGTGTGTGTGAGTGTGAGTGTGTGTGTGTGAGTGTGAGTGTGTGTGTGTGAGTGTGAGTGTGTGTGTGTGAGTGTGAGTGTGTGTGTGTGAGTGTGAGTGTGTGTGTGTGAGTGTGAGTGTGTGTGTGTGCGTGTGTGTGTGTTCCAGTCTCAGTCTGTATGCTTGTTTGTTAGTATTGCACTGTATGTGCAAATATTTTATTCTTCATGTTCTTTTGTGCACTTCAAGTGTCCGTGTGTGTGTGTGTGTGTGCGTGCGTGCGTGCGTGCGTGTGTGTGGTCTGGTATTATGAGGATTTATGAGTCTAGCGGGGACGTACAGTGGTAGAGTGTATCAATGAATGAACTACATATGGTGATGAATGCAGCACTGACAGAGGGCTAAATCTGTCTTTGTGGTTAAATATGGCGAGCAGGCAGCTGCTTAGAGAGAGACTGTTTGTAATGAGAAAGCCACAGGTTTGATCCCCCTGCGGCTCCTCGTCACAGTGCCCTTGGGGAAGATGCTGAATCCCTCACCTCTCAACCAAACTCCAAAGACAAATTCTTAATTAATTCATGCTGTGTTTCAGCATTAGAAACCACATTAAAATTCAAACACAGTTTCCATTGTTATCGCTCTCGTTCAACACTCGGCTGTGTAGTTTGTGCAGTGGCTCACCTGTCAGTTAGACTGTGGGGGTGGGGATGTGGTTTCCTGTTGAAGTTGGAGTTTATCTGCTGCATTAGGTGAATGCTCTGGTGCCTGTTGCTGCTCTTGCTGATTACCCAGTTCTTCGTTTGTTCCAGACAAAGAGCTGCTGCTGCTGCTGCTGCAGACCCTGACGACACAACAGTAAATAAAAAGGCTTTAGATAAATTGAAAATTGAAAAACTTAAATATAGCAGCTCAGTAATGCTATTACAACCAAGTATGACATATACTTGTGTGTAGGGTATAATTTCATCTTTAATCTTATTATAAAAAATGTTCTAATAACTAACAAGACTAATGGGGACAATGTTTTAGATTTAAATCTTAGGGTTTCTTTTAAAGGCCACATATACATACATTTGTTGTTTGCTTTGCTTTGTTGCACCTGTTTGAGTGGGACACATTACACCTGGCATGTCTCCCCGCCCGAGCAGAGGTCTAAGCAGCTGAAAACTGGACACACCTGTGCGGGTGTGCAAGGAAATTTAAAGTTTGGTTGGAGAGTTTGTCCAGGGCATTAATGTACAGTTATATGTTATATGTGCAGCTGTAGAATGTGCTCACAAGTACAGTAACACCAACACCATGTCTGTGACTGTGTGTGTGTGTGTGTGTGTGTGTGTGTGTGTGTGTGTGTGTGTGTGTGTTTGTGTGTGTGTGTTGTGTGTGTTTGGACCAACAGGAGAAGGAGGTGACCATCACAATGCCTAACGGGGAAACATCAGTGGCGACGGTTCGAATCTGGAATGAAACTGTGTCCAATCTGACGCTCATGGCTCTGGGCTCCAGCGCCCCGGAGATACTGCTGTCTGTTATAGAGGTACACACACACACACACAAACACACACACACACACATAAAAACATCTATCACAGGGGGGTATGTGTGGATTCATCCCCCAACCCCCGAACACAAACCTTACACACACTGTATCCCTCCAGGTGTGTGGTCACAACTTTGAGGCCGGCGAGTTGGGACCAGGAACCATCGTTGGCAGCGCTGCCTTCAACATGTTTGTGATCATCGGGATCTGCGTGTGGGTGATCCCCAACGACGAGACCCGCAAGATCAAACACCTCAGGGTGTTCTTTATCACCGCCTTCTGGAGCATCTTCGCCTACATCTGGCTCTACCTCATCCTGTCTGTCATGTCGCCGGGCATCGTGGAGGTGAGACACAGTCAGTGGTTTACAGGAAAAGAGGAAAGATAGAATGAGTGGTACTGTTCACCACTTTTGTCCATATGTTTGCTAATTTGGTCCCAAATAAACCCTCTGTCATAAAGGTGTGTGGCGTGGTAGAGGTGAGGTTATGCAGCCCAGGTGGTACAACGCTATAATGACATTTGATTTGTTTTTGATTTGATGAAGCCATGTCGTTTTTGTCAGATCAGAAATGGAAAATATTGAATGAAGGTTGGGATAACAGTGAGAGGGAGACATGTTGGTCAATGTTATGTCTCCTTCCTTTCGTATAGGATAAACTGCCAAGCAAAGATTGCTGAAAAACAACGTGGGGCTCTCAGTTTTGCTTCTGCTGCTGCTTTTCTAACAGTAGTAGTGACATTGTACACATGTAAATGCACCCAAATATTACTGACTAAATGCAACTGATTTAATCAGTTGTTTATCAGTTTTACTGGTTCAGGTTTTGAGATCTGCATCTGTGAGGCAGAACCTACCTGAACCTAATATTGGGAGCAGACTGTACTAATGAAAATCATTTTTGTATTGTACTACAAAGTGCAGCTACAGCTACAATGTGTAGTCATGCACTGATGTGACACTGATATGGCACTGCCTTGAATCTGTGCTGCTGTATATGAAGATTTTTTTGTATTTGGTTTGGCGTATTTGTGTCATGCAGCTCTCCTCCTGGACAGTAACAACTTTCTCCTCAGAGGAGTCTTCCTGTCTCCTCCAGCTCATTAAACTGTCTGCTGTATTTACAGGAGTTGATCTGAAGGGAATACCACAGAATATACTGTATATCTGCATGACACTCCATCCTTTCAGTATGTGCCACATTGCACCAGAATTACACCCAGAGACAGGCGACAAATTAAGGGAAAAATCCTGAAAAATTATTGGAGAAACTGAATGACAATGTCCCCATCCTAAACTAAGGGTCACTGGATGGTTTGATGAGTATGAAAATGATGTGAATCATATGCTGCGGCCTTCACAGTCACCTGGGGCCAGTTTCACAAAGACGTTTCAGACCGGTCTGTAGTGTTGGTCCGGTCTTAATGTTGCTCATAGATTAATCTAATGTTACTCAGACCATTTCACAAAAATACAAACTGACTCATTTTAAGCCAAAATCATTAGACACCTTGCCCCCAGCCTAACTCAGGCGTAAGATCAATGTTACCATGGTAACGATCAATGACACCTGCACTGACCAGTAGCACCCAACAACAGAAGGGAGTTTTTAGAGACTGCAGCCATTGTTTTACAAATGAGATTTTTCTTTGTTTTTCTTATTCATTTATTCTAATTGTTTCACTCCTCGCTGAATTTCCCAAGTAAAACCTCCTGAATTGAATTCTTCCCAAAGACAAACACTTTCTGCTGGAGTAAACAGAGCTGAGAGGTTGGATGTTGTTCCTGTACCACAGACCAGCTTAAGATGGTCAAGAACTGAACTGCTCGGTGCAACAGATGAGTTTAGACTCAGTCTATCTGAAGTCTAACTATTTGTTCTATCTACTGTAAGTCACAGTCAAAGTCTGTCTTTGTGAAACCGGCCCCTGATCTCCACCCTGTTGAACACCTACGTGTCAGACAGCACTCTCCACCAACATCATCAAAACACCACACGAGGGAATATCTTTTGGCAGAATGGTGTTCATCCCTCCCCTAGAGTGCAGAGACTTGCACTTGCCACTGTGACACTTAATGTTGGTTCTCCTGTTAATGTGTCACCGTCTGTATGTGTCCACGGTGCACCCAGTTTCAGGCACTGTGCATCTAAAGGGAGGAAGTCATTTTAATGATGATCTTTAATCCAACACCTGACACCATGCAAACAACGGTAATTAGGAGAATCTGTGTGTGTGTGTGTATGTGTGTGTGTGTGTGCGTGCGTGTGTGTGTGTGTGTGTGTGTTTGTGCGTGCGTGCGTGCGTGCGTGTTTCAGGTGTGGGAGGCCGTGGTGACCCTGCTCTACTTCCCAGTGTGTGTCATACTGGCTTGGATCGCCGACCGTCGTCTGCTCTTCTATAAGTACATGGGCAAGCGTTACCGTGCCGACAAGCGCCACGGCATCGTCGTGGAGACTGAGGGAGACTTGACACCCAATAAGGGCGGCATGGAGATGATCATAGACGGCAAATTCCCGCCACGAGGGGGCGCCGTGGTCCCTGCCGAAAACTGCGGGGGAGCTCAGGGAGGCGCTGCAGCCAATAACGTTGGTGCGGCAGCAGGAGCCATGGCAACGGGAGCTGGGGGAAACCTGCCCAACTCCAACAGCATGATGGTCAATGTGGAGAGCAGCAAGGAGCTGGACGAGAGCCGCAAAGAGGTGAGAGGCCGAGAGGGAGAGAGAGAAATGGAGGTTAAAATTAAGTATAGAGAGAAGTGTTGTGGAAAATATTTCACAAACATGATTTAAAATACTTAGTGTACTATTAAACTAAAATAGTTTCATAGATTTTTATTTTATAATTCTGTTTATATAGATATGTTATGATTATGGTCCCTGATTTAACATAGACTAACACAGCAGATGCAGCCAGACAAAGACAAGCTTCAAGACAAGTCAGGTGAAAAAGTTCAAATCCTCATCTGTAGAAAAGTGTAAATGAAACCCAAATTTTGTTTTGGTCTGTAAACAGTCATACAAACAAATTGAGCAACTGTATAATTGTAGGAAGGATTTCCAAACAGCAGAAATGAACATTTTCAATCCCCTGTTATGTCTCAAACAGTCCTGAGTGTGTTGTGTCACTCACAAAATGCAATCCAGGAAGGACGGTTTGAGCAACAGATTCATGAGTTTGAAGACACGGCACAATGGTTTATAATACTCTGAGAAAGGATTTTATAACTCACTGCAGCCGTTATTTTTATCTTTTTGTCTCTGAAAAACAGCAGAAAAACACACGTTCATGTTACAAAGCATTCTAGCAGCAATGTGCACATGTATGTTTGTGATTGGCCAAGACAGCAACTTGCTGAATGACATTGTGTAGAGTTGTGGCAAAAATTGAGCCAGATTCAACATTTCCTTCTGTCGTGGTGTGTTTGATTTTTTTTCCTACTTCAGAGATGACTGGTCAATACCGTGCCTGTCATTCCTTACTAACTATATTACTCCCACTCTTTTTGCCAAAGGTTCACACGACTGGTTGCTGCAGAACATCTCAGGGAGGGTGGAGGAAATAGGATGTAGACACTGTTATCACTGCAGATTGCGTCCTGTGATAATTCTGTAATCTCATTCCTCCGTGTTTTTTTGTTGCACAGAAAACCATTGCAGAGGGAATGAAAATGATCATAATCCACATATACAGCCATTTACACCTGTTAGTAGCTGCTATAAAATGATGAGTTGCTCTGAAGCAGAAGAGGGAGAACTGAGATGAGTTTAAGAGAAAAGAGAAATGAACATGTGCGAGGTTTGACAGACAAAGATGGAAAAACAATGACGAGGGTCAGAGAGGTTGTAGTAGTGAGAAGAACAGACAAATCACCCCGCTCTTTCAACCAGTGAATATTGCACACACAAAAAAAAAATCAGCCTTTTGTTGCAATGTAGACACATATATTACTGAGTTAGTTAGATGTTGCAATAAGCATAATCTTTCTTGAACTTCTTCTTGATGAACTGACTTTTAGGTAAATTCACTCTTCATTGGTAATTTCCAGTAACAATTGCTGAGCGCACTCCACCCCTGCACTGTGCTGTTCAGAGTGACTGTGAGAGCAGGGACAGGCTGTGGCTTCACTTTCATTGAATTAAAGCTGTAACACTTTGACATTTACTCACTATGAAACTCATTCTCTCGTTCACACACCGACCGCACATTCACACACAATTTTCTCCTTCCCCGTAAAATCTGCACGCGACGTGTCATTTAGAAGTCTTGAAAGAAATTAATTGATTCTACACGTTCGTTCTCACTTTCACATTCTCAAGTCAAACCGTGGTAAAAGCAAAAAATACTCCTTGTACCAAACCAAAGAACATGGAAGCTAAAATGGTTCTAATTAAATACTTGGCAGCAGTTAAATGTTGCAGTAAATGATCCTGAAATGGAGCAGTTTAAATGGAGGAAAGAAAATTACCAAATCATTTCTTTCTCTTTTCCAGCTGGCACTAGAATCAGTTTACAAAGTTTTTAAAACTTGCAGGCACTCTGCATTTGATGGTTTGGAAATGTTTTCAACAGTTTATAAAGTTTTGATTTTTCAACTCTCAAATGAAACTAAGCCTATAAGCAGCGGTCAAACATTAAAATGATTGAAGCATAGACTGTATATAAAGATGAATGTCACCCACAGGTTTCTTAAGAGCAGTTTTGCAGCTCAGAGTGAGCTGCTCCGCCGTCGCCATCTTACCAGAGCCTGCCTCCACCTCACTCCCAGCTAATCCAAAAATGGGCAAAGAGGAGGGGCATGTGTGGATCTGAGACTTCGGTGCGTGCAGTTTAATAACTGTGGTAAACGTAATGCTTCTGTTAGCATCGTTAGCACAGCTGGGCGTCTTGCTCGAAGGCTAACCCAAGGCTAATTCATTTGCTGGCTAATTAGTTAGTTAACGGGTAGGTATGGTGAGCACAGACACATATACCTGCTAATTAGTGCTAACATATAAATAAACATAAGCAGGAGCACACACTTCTTCTGTTTGTCAATCACCCACACAGCAAGCCACATTATTTGTCTTATTTGATATCTGCATGAAAAATCCTCAAAAACAAACACTCATATTAGCTGAGGCCCTCAATTATATATAACTTTAAGTTTCAATAAAATATAAACAGGTGAGTCATACTAAAAATTCACCCCCCCCTGCAGTCGTCATGAAGGAGGAAATTAGCTATAGAGACCAAAACTGTTTTTGTACCAGGCTGTAAACATCTCTGCTGTAAAGCTGGACATTTTAACATGGGAGTCAATGGGGACTGACTCACTGTTGGAGCCAGACTCTAGTGGTCATTCAAGGAACTGCAGTTTTTGGCACGTCAGTGTTGGCTTCATTTTCCAGCTCTGGAGGTTGCCGCTTGATTTGGAGGTTCAACCGTTTTAGGAGGTGAGGCAGTGATATTTTTGTTGGGCTGGGAGCTGAAGCATAAATCCATCCAATCATCCACCTGCTACAGGGACTGAAAGCGCCAAGAATCTCGACACTGCCACAGTCAGTGTTTGTATGAACAGCCGTGCATGCTGTCAGTGTGTGTTGTGTAGCTATGTTAATCATGAGTGTGTCCTCCGGTCTCTCTTCCAGGTGATTCGTATCCTGAAGGAACTGAAGCAGAAATATCCCGACAAAGAGCTGGACCAGCTGGTGGAGCTGGCCAACTACTACGCCCTGCTGCACCAGCAGAAGAGCAGAGCCTTCTACCGCATACAGGTAACACGCGCGCGCACACACACACACACACACACACACACACACGTTCCTCTATGTTAAATTTAGAGAAATGATAACTAACACGAAGTGAATATCATTCTGAACACTTTGTTTCTTTTCTTTTATCCTCCTCCTCTCCGTGTCCTTCAAGGCGACTCGTATGATGATCGGAGCCGGTAACGTCCTGAAGAAGCACGCAGCCGACCATGCCCGCCGCACAGCTGTAACTGACGAGGAGGCACCAGAGGAAGAGGACGTGGGGATATGCAGCCGCATCTCATTTGAAAGCGCCCACAGCCAGTGCATGGAGAACTGTGGCGTTCTGACACTGGCTGTAGTCTGCCATGGTAGTGAAATAAATAAGTCATAAGTGAAAATTGAATTCACATAAATAAGTCAGAAGAAGCTAAGACTGGTGTGGTAATAAAGTATAAAATCTTTCTTTTCTTCAAATTATTGCAAACACTAACTTTTTTAACAGTCTTTGATCTGTTTGAGTTTTAGTCTCTGAGAACCTTCTTTATTTTACTGCAATCTGAACTTTAAAGGCAGAGCAGTGACTTATTTTAACACCCTGGCTCTTTAATTACTCGACCGAAGCAGCGGTAAAACAAGCACCCCCCCACTCCTTTACTTTAAACAGTTCTCCACTGATTTACCCTCGCACTACTGTGACTTTCCCTGACTGTTAGAACACCTGACAGTGTAACTTCACCTGCCGCGAGCTGTCGTATTATGTAGTCTTATATCTCAGTGGTTGTTGTCCCCTTGACTCCTCACATATTGGTCTGATGACTTGTCACCTGACAGATGTACCACTAACATTTTCTAATTGTTTTGGGTCCTCTAATATAACCGTAACTTTGTTTCTGCTGATTTCCACCACTGGATCAAAGACACAGTTTCACTTTTATTTCTGTTTTGGAGGTCATTAAAGGTGAAGCCTTGCACAGGGCTCATCTGTAACAAAGGAAACTTTGAGCAATAACTTTCCAATGATAATGAGAAGCACTTTAGATCAAAGCAGAGATGTACCAAGGTGTAAAAATCTGACAGGGTTTTATAACATAACATTAAATCTTATTCTAATCTCATAAAAATGAAATGGTTTGTGCCATGCTTTCACACACAAATACATCTTGCATGTGTTTCTAGCTTTGATAGATTTCAATGAAAAACGATTGCCCAGCATTCATTTGTTTTATTTCTGCTGCTCAGGGGGTCTGGGAGAGAACACCTTCTATGTGGACTACAGGACAGAAGATGGTTCGGCCAACGCTGGGTCGGATTACGAGTACAGCGAAGGAACGCTGGTGTTCAAACCGGGAGAGACTCGTAGAGAGATCAAGGTGAGTGAGGAGGAGAGGGAGACGAGCAGGAGGAGAGAGATTCACACACTGTTGGGAAAGAAGCGGTAAACTGCGCTGAGCTCTGCTCCACAAACCACCACAGACGAGACCTGCTCCCTGACCACAACATGCTACCGGGTTACACTTAAACATTAGACTGCTTTCAGTCATGGTTAAGGTGCTCTGACGTCCTGACTGGGAATCAATTACTTGAACTGCCTCCGTGGTCATAAAAGTGGAAACACGTTCACCAGAAAAACAACACCGTTATTGTTTGTTGGAAAACTTAAAACAGCCCACAGCTGCTCCGTCTCCTAGAATTACATTCATATAATATTTATTTGTTTTCCCAAATACATGCTGCTCGGACTATTTGAAGTGGCAGTATGGTTTGCAACGCAGGAAGTGCTATGTCTTCGCTGTAGGTGGTCAGTGTGAACGGAGTGTACAAAGTGCAGAACTCAGACACTAGAGATCGGGCTTCATGCTCATGGAGGGAGAACACATTTTTATTCTGCCAATCAAACTTTGCATAAAAGAGTAACATCAGCGTCGTATCACAGGCAGAGCAGACGGTCACACTGAGGCAGACAGCAGCTGCTACACAACACAAGAACCAGCCCGCATTAGTTTTTACTGCTGAAGTCTCCTTCTTCTGTTCCAACCTACAAACCCGAACACCTGCATCTTAGCTTGGTGAATGAGCCACTAAGCAAACATTCACTGGGGCACAGTGCACTGCAAATGTCAGTTATCAAGCAAGATAGTTGATTAGCTGCTCAGCTAATTAAACAGCACGCTGCTTCAAGCCAGTGTTGACTCTCAGTATTTAACCTAAAACAGTCGTTCTCTAATCTAAGTGCTGCGAGGCAACGAAACATGTCCATAAAAAAACTTATGGTGTGCTTTAGTCGCATGAGGAAATATTGTATTGTAAAGGTTAAAGATTCAATGAAGATACAGGTGTGCAACTAGGTTAGGTTGTTTTTGTGTCTGTGGAGGCTGCAGCTACAGCAGTTCAGCTGTCCGTGTGAAATCTGCACAAACGCACACACACACCACTGCACACACACACACACACACACACACACTGCCAGAGCTGTGTCAGAACACAGTCTTTGTATCCTAACCTACAGCACTCCTTTTTATTCTACAGGTTCCACAGTCAGTCAGTAGATTGTTTCGGAGTCAGTAGGTTCTGTAAATGGGGAACGATACAACAATATGTTGTCATAAAACAAATGTACTTTTGAGAACATTTTAAAATCAAGTAACTTTAACTCAAGAAGAAATCTAACTGAACAAGTTTCACTAGGAGTAATATTTGACCAGTAGAATTTATACTGTGACTCAAGTAATGGAGCTGTGGACTTTCTCCAGCTCTGCATATAAGTAGCCTGTCATGTATTATGAAACAGAAAATCTGTCAGTTCATTCAAAAGCTCTGAGTTCAAGGTTGTCTTTGTTGAGAGAATGGAAATAGAAGCTGATGCATTTTTATCTCAGAATATAAATGTCCTGGCCTCTAATGCTGATTTCAAACCTAGAAACCTGCTTTAGCTGGACTTTAAACGTTAAGCTCCCAGCTTTGTTGTTTTCTTTAGTTTTTTTTCGGGTGCAGGTGAAGCAAGTTTGACCTGCATCCACACGCTGCAGGCTTCTGAATAACCTGCGGTGTGGCTTTAAAATGTGAAAAGATATCTGAGTAGATCAAAGTGAGGGGAGAGAGAGGGGAGAGAGGGATGATGAGATAAATAATGAGAGTCCCAGCAGAAGAGACAGAGACAGGCTGTGGAGAGACAGATGTTAATATTCAAGGAGAGGACAGAGAAATACTGATGCCACTGCTCGTTTCTGCTGCCACTCCGTTAGCTACTACCTCACTATATGAACCAGAGAGGTCCCAGAAGTTTCACTTTCATCTGACAAGCAGGAAAGTGAAGCTTTAAACATCTTTAATGGTTAACCTAAAACTTACTGCAGGTGTAAAAATACAGAAGAAAAACTTTAAACTTTAACCTGGCTGTTGCATCATGTGCTTAACATCATTTCTTCTTTATCGTTTTTGTTTCATTTAATCATTTTTATTTTTACATATTTATTGATATTGATTTGAGTTTTGGATCAGATTCACTTGTGCATTTTACCTTAAGTTATGGATATTTTTACAGAAGCTAACAGTGTCACTGCTATGATAACAGTGTAACGGATATATGTAAAAAAAACTACCAGTAAAAATACTCCCAATAATTCTACCACTATTACTGCTGTTGCTACAAGTGTATCTGCTAATCACTGTTTCTACATTAGAAGTTTTGAAGTGGTGATTATATTTGTGTTACAGATATAATTATCTAAACTTTTATTTGAATTTAATTAATGTCAGTTTAACAACAGCAAATACAAATACATATATCCATAATCCACAAAGGCTCCATCCTGCTTGTAAAAATGTCCCATTGATTTGATATTCCAGCCTGCAGTGGATTTTAACCCGTTTCATAAGGTGTGCCCTCTACTTCCTGATGCAGACACAGCAGGCAGCTGCATCCCAGCTGACACCTTTGTTTGGGTCAATAAAGTCTTACTGTTGGGGGGAATTTAAAGTATCACACTGCACTAATCACATTACTTCTGCTGCTAACAAAGCAGTGAAACAGACGTTCGTCAGTTCTCACATGCAGTTATTGTACCAGTGATAACAAACAGTTTACACAGAATGCATGATTCTTTTAGACCTTATATTTACCACAACAGCATATTTTCAAATAATTCACTGCATGCTCATTCAATACCTATAATAATGATAATTTAATACTTATAAATAAATACCAGTACCAGCCTTGAACTGCTGCTTGGGAACGGCTGCTGAAAGAGTAGAGCACAGACAACAGCAATTATTTCAAAATAATGGTAAACATAAAAATAACAGAAAGAAAAAAGTAGAATGGATGAAAGTTGAGATGTTTTACATGAAGAAAAAAACACTCACTATCAGATGTTGTTGATGTAACTGTCAAGAGTAACTCATCAGTCTGAAGGTGATTCTCCTTCATCCATTTTTTCACAGATACAAATACATCAAATAATAAATAATTCATGTCAGATTATTTTCAAAGAATAATGAATGAAGGAAACCCTTTAGAAACCCCAGAAAAATACAGTAATACATTATTAAATTATGGGTAGGGCAACTTATATTGCTGCCTTTTTAAACGTTCAATAACCATCTAGTACTAAATAGAATTCAGCACTGTTTCAGTAAAATAACAGCACTTTGAGTCTAATCTGAAAAGAAGGTATAAAGTTAGACGATCAGTCCAAGTGCTGTTTTAAAGTTCACTGTCTCCTTTGATTACAAATGTTCCCAACTTTTTTTCTGCAATCTGAACTTGAGATCAAACAACATCGTAAAGATTATTTTTCCCAAAGACGGAAACCTGGAATAATTTTTCTTTAAAGCACACTGTGCCGTGTGAATTAAAAGCATATAGGATGACAGCACGAGGTAAAGGGCGTGCTAAGACCAGTAATCTCTCCTCACATTCAAAGTGTGATGAGAGATCAAAAGGAGTGTGAGGGCTGGATGAGAGGAGAGTGGTGCAATAGCCTGAAGAGTCACATAAAAGAAGCATGGGGATGACGGGACATTAAAAAACATAAAGGATAAATTGGCCATCTAAAATAAGTGAATGGATGGAGAGACGCTTAATGAGTAAATTACAAAGGTCAGTGTCATCCATTTCAACAGCACACCAGTAGATTTCATCGATCACTGTGCCAGAAATGAGCAGCAGAGAAACCAATTAAACCTGAACGTCTCACTCGTCTGCCAGAACTCCACTTTCTCTGCCGTATCAGTTCCACTGTGTAACCATCACCGCAGCCTTCACAGCTTCTATTCTCTACTGATTAAACAAAAAGAGATGGGGCTGACAGAACCAATAAAAGAACTCATGGTCAGGCCTGTCCTAATGAAGAGTCATACTTGTGATATCAAAATAAGGAGACAGTCATTACAGAATGAATCTCATTTGCAACACAGTGATGAAATGGAAGTGTAGTCTAGAGACAAGATGATAACAAGGCTACCAGTTATTCAAATCTAAAAATGTTAATACAAATAGTAACAGACTGCATGTGTCAGTAAACATACAGATTGCACATGTGTACATGATATTCATTCATTCGTTATCCATATATATAGGGTCGCAGCGGGGCTGGAGCCAATCCCAGCTAACATTGGGAGAGGGCGGGGTGCACCCCAGACAGGTCGCCAGTCTGTGACAGGGACAGAGATAAACAACTCTTCACACTCACATTCACACCTACGGGCAGTTTAGAGTCACCACCTAACCCTAACCTGCGTGTCTTTGGACTGTGGGAGGAAGATGAAGTACCCTGACAGAAGCCACACATGCGCAGGGAGAGCATGCAAACTCCACACAGAGAGGGCCCAGCTGGCTGGAAGGTCCGAACCCAGAACCTTCTTTGCTGTGAGGTGACAGTGCTAATTAGAGCACCACCCTGTCGTGGCAAGGAGGCCAAAGAAACACTCCCCCATTACCAATCATTACCAATCTATCAGAATGAAGATGCAGAGGAGCATCATTATCAGGCGTGACTACAGTGCAGTACATCCACAAGTAGTTATTAGGTTTTTCAGTTTTCCCAGTGCGCAGACCCTTTTCATTGATTTGCATTTTTCTTTATCTGCATTCATATGGAAATGTCAAATAACTAATACTGGACCAACAAGTTTAATCCCTGAATCATGTAATGCCTCAGCGTGAACAACAGAACTTTTCCTCCTCAGGGTTGCCAAGAGTGGATGCTCGTGCATAAAATGGAAATGAAATGAGCTTTCACTGCACGTCTGCTGACTGAGTGAAGGTCTGAGCTGCATCGTAAACAGGCAGCTTGACCCCATCAGTAACAGAGCTGAGACAGCCAATTATAAAAACTCACTAACAGGATGATGAAGGAGGGTTACTGTTGTCTGTCTGGTAATTCACTTTAATGGATCAAACAAAGCCTGATATGCTGGTTGTTTTTCATCAGGGAATGGTATCACTCATAATCACTTCATACCTTTATTTACTATGAACAGTAAATTCATTATCAAAGCTTCCATTTGCAGGTGTATTTGAAATTAACAGTAAAAGTCGAAACTGCCAAAAAAAAAAAATAGAGACAGACATGAGGCACCTGATGCATCATCCTTTTTTCATGTTTGGCTATAAAACATACAGCATACTGACTCTTTATGTTAATTGATATACATTCAATTAATCAAATAAGGAAAAGAATTCCAGAAAATAGTGAAAAGATTCTGATCACATTTACTCCAAGGTGATGTTTTCAAACAGCTTGTTTTGTGAGCATTTATATTCAGAGAAGCTAAAACTTAAAATGTAGAAAAAGCAGCAAATACTCTTTTCAGAAGTTTGAGTTTGCTGATTTTGTTTAATACATATCCTAATTTATCAGTTAGTTTTTGTTTAATTAATTTGCTGTTGATCATCGAATTGATAATTGACTAATCATTTCAGCCTTGAATATGGAATCAGGTGAAAGAGTAACTTAAAGTTCCTCTTCAGACATATTTTAAAGTATCTAAAAATCCTCTCCTATGATTTTGTTTAACATGGTTTCCCTCATAAAAAGTGAAAAAAAAAAGAAGAAAACTGAGGCTGGAAGCAAATCAACTCTTACTTCCTCATTGAGAAGTTCTGGATCAGGCCTTGTGCCCCGCCCACCACCGCTGGTTGCGCTAGCCTCAGCCACATGTTTGAGCCTCAGTCAGACCCAGACAGGTGAGGAGTCTGTTGAGCCCAGAATCAGAGACTAGCAGACGGATCAGAACGGTTAGCGCAGTTAGCATCTTTTATTTGTATATGTTGTTCGTTAGCTTGTAACTGGCAGTAGCTGATACACTGTTAGCGATTGTGCTAACGCAAACTCTCTCTCTCTGTACTGACAAGGTTTCGGGTTTATTTTTGCTGTAACCATGCCCACAACTATTCATAGGTATCGGTTTGCTTTGTTGCACCTGTAAACACATCCAACAGTGATGACACAGAGTCCAGGAGTATACCTGTACATCACTGCAAGCTAAACCGCTGGAGGTCTGCAGAAACAAGATTCTGATGGCTATAATCACTATTTTTATTACTACAGAAACTACAAAAGATCAAATTACAGTGAGAAAGGTGTTTCTGGTAATGATGCTCCTACAGAGATTTACGTATTTCAGTTTATTCAGTCTGGCGTAGTCACTGGCTCGATGCTGCTCCCCCAGCAGACTACAGAGAACAGCACACCGGCCACAACAGACTGGTAGGAGTTTTCCAACATCCTGCAGCAAATGTTTAAAGGATCTCAGGTTCCTCAGAAAATATAGAGTCTGCTCATCTCCGTCCTATATACAGCCTCTGTGTTGGTCCTCCAGTCCTCTTCCTTCTGAAGTGGAGCGTTTAGCAGCTAAAGAGCCAGATGTTTCACTCAGGAGTTGGTAGAGACCAAAAACAGAGCGATAAGAGAGGGACCATTGGATTTGTATTTATCAGGTGGACACAAACGGGACTCCAATTGTGTCCAAATTCACTATGTCTACTTAAAGGTGATGATATGTCAGTATTATCTTCAAAGCTTTTTTCCACTGCCCCCAAGTGGCCAAAAATGAGTTCCTGCAGGTTTGAGGAACAACTTTCATCCTCACCTTAGTGACTTGATTGTTGAAATATTTATCAGGGATAATATCATGTTGCAAAGAGGAATCATTTTCCCAGTCGCCTTCTTCATCGCTGCGTCAGGGGTGGACTCCATCCAGAATATGGTGACGTCTGAACACATGGCAGGATGTGGTCTGGCTCTTTGGATTTCAATACCAACCTACTATAATCTGATTTGGGAGCAGCCATCTGTCAGTTAGTGCGCGATGGCGTGATCGGATGACAACAATCTCATAAAGATGGCTATTGTAACTGGAGCCTCTGTTTATCTGTCTGCTGAGGGAGATGACTGGCTCTCAGCCCTGCCCGCTCTCAGTATTCAGCACAGCCGTCCAGACGCACAAACACCACGCTCCAGCATCCAGACCACAGACCGTAGACCAGGGTTGATTTTAATTCACTTTAAATTCAGATCTTGAAATAAAACTCTCTTTACATAATAAGCACACAAGCACACTGTCTGGGATCTTTTTTCTAGTAGTAAAGAAAACATTCAGTTTTCATTTTCTCTAAAATGAAATTCCACCTCCAGAGCAAGGTTTCTTAGTAACAATTATTCTGCATAATACATTTCGAGTCTATCATACATGCATGCTGAGATTTCAGTAATTGATAATCTCAGATGACTGGCATTGAATCCAACTTTGACCCAGTCATATCTTCATTTCATCTTTTTATTCCCTGCTCACTTCTCTCTCTCTCTCTCTCTCTCTCTCTCTCATTTGTTTTTTCAAATGTGCTCTCATGCCTCATGTATCTCAGACTTGCTGGGAATATTTAGAGACAAAGATGTAGAACATGAGAAGATTTTGCTCACCAAAAAATCAATAATACATCTGATGCTGATGTAGGAAATGTAACAGATGTGAGGGATCAAATTAACATTTCAACTGGCACTCATGGTCACTGGAAATGTGTGTTTCTGATTGGCCAACAGGTGTCGTAAAGCACACATTGAATTTGCAGGTATCCATTTTAATTTCACTTGAGCATTTACTGCTTGGTAGCTAAAAGTTAAGATAACTCTCTCAATAATTCAATCTGAAGAGCCCTGATATAGAAAGTAAAAGATTTTACTTGCTTTTGTGTATCAGGGCATCTTATTGTGTGTTATTGCTCATGCATGGAGCTGAAATATTAAATAAGTGTTACAGCTGGTGTCTTACTATAATTTATCAAGGCCAGAGAGTACAGCTTTCAGCTTCTCATCAATCATGCCTGAAGATATCGACCTTCTGTGTCTGTGTCTCCAGGTCGGTATAATCGATGACGACATCTTTGAAGAGGATGAGCACTTCTTCGTGCGCCTGCTGAATCTGCGTGTTGGTGACGCAGAGGGGATGTTTGAGAGCGATGAAGTGGGTGCCCTCCCCAAAGCTCGCTTGGTTGAGCCCCTGGTTGCCACGGTGACCATCCTGGATGACGACCACGCTGGCATCTTCACATTCAGCGAGCGCATGGTGCGGGTGAGCGAGAGCGTGGGCACCATGGAGGTGACGGTGGCTCGCAACTCGGGCGCCCGCGGCACCGTCATCCTGCCGTACCACACTGAGTCAGGCACCGCCAAGGCCGGAGAAGACTATGAGGACGCCCGGGGAGAGCTGGAGTTCACCAACGACCAGACCACGTGAGTCAAACTACACATTATCCTTCTTTTTTTTTTACTCTCTGGATGGAACCTAAACTGCATTTTCATACATTTGCTTCATTTTTGACCAACTTTTCTGCTGCTGATCTCAGAGCAGCTGTGTTGGAAGTTGGAGTAGTATCATGACAGTCCTTGTTAATGAATAGAAAAGCATTAAAGCTCCACTCTGTCTTTTTTTTATGCGTCTGCGCAGGCGACAGTCAGGGCCGGACACTTTATGTTTCTGGTTGTCTGTCTGTGCCATTCTCCTGAATGTGATGTCACAGGAATGCCTGAAAGGAATCCCTAAAATTCATTTGTTCATTTGGACTCAAAGATGAACTGATTAGAGGTCAAAGATCAAGGTTAATGGAGACCACACAAAAAAATGTTTTTGGCCATAACTCAAGAATTCACACACTAATTAACTGCAGCTGGACTGGGTGGCGGAGGCATACAGCCGTGAGGCAGTAATTCTAATTAGCAGTTTAATTCTAGTCTGAAAATAATTTTCAGACTGGGAGTGAATTAAATGTTTAAACCTGCCAGAAGGGATTTCAGTGTGTGAGAGCTGCTGATTTATATTTTGAGTAATCCCTCACGGGCGGGTGTATAATTTCAAAAATACATTTGCATTGATTTGTGAATAGGCATTTACCTGTTCATTCCTACAGAGCTTATGATCCAGGGAATGTGTCTGTAAAATAAAATATATAGTGAGAGTGCTAAGAGAGAAGGGAGGAGCAGAGTTTTGTTCCTGTCTTTTTCCTTTTCCTTGTTGTTGCTCTTGTTTTTTTCTCATCACCCTTTACTCCTCGCCCATCCTCATCCATCCTCACCTGTCCTCTTATGTATTTCTCATCTCTTCTCTCACTGTTTCTCTCCTCTTCACCTCTTTTAGTTCTGTCGTCCATCTCACACTCTCTTCCTTGACCTTCATGTTTGCCAGACAACAGTCCTGTCCATTGTTCATCATGGCTGACCTGAGGCGCAGAACATTCGTGTTGAATCCTCTAAGTCTGTGTGAAGAGCAAATGTTGTTATGTTGGTGTGTTTGTGTGCTACTTTATTTTTATGGTAATGTGTTTTAGAGTGTCACTAATTGCTCGGTGACTGCAGACTGTAAATGTGATGTTTATGTTAAATGTTCTTATCCATCTGCAGAGCAGACTGACACCTCTGTCATAATGTCTTTGCCTTAATCTTTGCCTTAAGCTTCTGGAGTCTGTCCTGAATTTATATCGATACATTTGCAAAGATAAACCTGGAATACTTGTTATGTGATCAGTTTTGAATGACAGAATATATTAAGTTTCTTTAGCAATGTTAGCTGATAAGCTGTATAGCAACATCCTTTTTGGTCCGTCTGCCATTTTAGTCGAGACTGAAATATTTCAACAACAATTTAATTGATAATCATAAAATCAGGTAAAGATATTCCTGGTTCAGCACATTCATGTTCCCCTCAGGATGAATAGTAATAACTGAAGCACAGCCTCACAGAGCTGCTAGCGTGGCTGCAGACTCTTGTTCTTGCTCTGAGTGAGCTTAATACAATAGTTGCATATGTGACTGAAATACAGTCTCAGCATTTCACAGATGAAGGACACCTTTTATTTCGTAAACTCAGTGATTGCTTTCACACAGGGAGGTGACGGCTCAATGAGATGTTTTTGTAATGTTAGGCTGCAAAATGCTTATTTCTTAGTTGTTTTTTTTTTATTAGTTCAAGTGTACTAAAGACAATTATGATAAGTATAAAAATCTTCCGGAGTTTACTGAAATACACCAGATGATTAGCTGTCAAATGAATTGGTGCGGGCATCTTTTAATGCCTTTGACATGGGTGTGTTTGTCTGTTGCAGAGGCCTGGTTTTATGTTTGTGCACCTTTGACAAACTCCAATGAACTGCTGTTTGTGTGATATTGATTGCAGCAGCTCTAAACTGATGTAAACTGGCAGGTTCATTGATTGACAGAGACCTGGATTAGGTGAGACAGGGCTGGTGGTGGGTGATAGATGAGTGGATGGACCTCAGTGTGTTTCTATGATAGCGGAAAACTTTATATAGTCTGGCAGTACATGGCCTCCGCACCACCTTGGCTCTGCTCTTAAGGAGGATTTATTCCAATTTCTTCTCCCAGTGTTTAATGATGGGCCAGTCAGTGTCTGAGTATACGGTAATGTCGTCCTCACCTGAAGCCTCACCTGGAACATTTCTGCTGCTGGACTGACAATTTTGACATCTCTTTCACCTCATCTACGGCCATGGGCTTCCTCTGTCCGTCTTTTCCAACCCCCGTGGCCTTCCTCAACTTCTGTATGACTACGCTGAAGTTCCTCGATTGCTAGTGATGCACTGACGAGCCTCCAGGTCTAACTTTGAGTGGTAAAATCGCTGTGACTGCAGTTCCACTCTACTTCATGCCTCTGCAGCCAACTCAGCTTTTACCTCTGTCTGCAGACTTTCCTCAGCTCAGTGAGCTCCATCAGGAGAGCAGTTTTTGCTCCTTCTGGGCCCCAACATGTCAGATAGAATCATAGTAAAAGAGCGCCGCTTAGAACTTGCTGCCCACATCTGTCTCCATATTTCAGTCCATCTCTGGAACCAGAAGTTTTGTTTGTGGTCACTTTCTGCTTCACAGTGCCATCTCGTTTGGTGAGAAACTGGATTTCTCTTGACCAGGATGTTAGACTTTACTGTTTTACCATGTACCTTTTGTCCTCCACCACCTCAGCAGGCTTTGTGAACACCCACTGTATAGTCATACCTGGCTCTAACAAAACAACATAGAGACAACAATGTGAGTTCAGGTTCCTCTGTTTGCACACTGAGTTGTGTAGAAGTCATCAGAACAAAATTAAAGCAGGCAACACAAACAGAACACTTGGCAATGTAAGTAGCAAATAGTTCAAAACAAATACCCATTACCCCTCAGAGAAAACTCAAATATCTAATCTCATGATCTCACAAACGGCCTTAACATTCATGGAACATCCAGAAGCAGTCTGCAGTGTATATCCTGCAATATCTCAGGAACACCTAGAGGGAATTTCTTCTAATTTGGTACAAACATTGGTGGTCAAAGGTCAAAGGTCAGTGTGACTACACAAAATACATTTTTGGCCACAGTTCAACTCGCTAATTAACCCTGGACTGGTTGGTGGAGACGTACAACAATGAGGCGGTGTAGTTTGCTTTTATAGCTGTTGTCTGCCCATCATCTATACAACAACTATAACCAGTGGACGTTGGCTGTAAAACATCAAATGATTTGGAGGAGATTGTAAATTGGACTGATAGCTTACAGCTTTCAGCAGTGTCCTCAGTGCTGTAACTCATCTTCACCTCGTCTAATCATCTAATCATCTAATCATCATCTAATCCTTCCTTCATTTCTGTCATTTTCACGCCACATTGTTCTCCAGTCAGGATGGCTGGCCATTGATTGCATCTCTCCATCTCCCTCTTTTTTCACCGTCTATCAGTCTGCCCCCCTTTTTCTCACTTTCTCTCTCTCTTCCCTGCATTGCTCCTTCTCTTATGCACTGTCTCCTTCTAGACCCCCATCGTTCTTTAAACATCCCCTCCTTGTTTTTTTCCATCAGAAGTCAACTTCTTCCATCCTGTTTTTTTTCTACTGTCCTCAACTTCACTCCTTCCCGACACACTCTATTCTCTTCCTCCCTTTTTTAACCACTTTTTCATCCTTTCTTCTCCTCCTCTGTTTGTCCCTTCTTCCTCTCCATACCTTTCCCTCCACCTGTCATTTCCTTTCTCTCTCCATCCATCTCTCCCTCTCTGTCTGTTGTCAGTGTAGATTTTCCTCTGCTCTCACTAAGCTGCTCTCTCCTGACATTTCAGTCTGGTCCTCAGAGACACTAACTGGTCTTGTCATCTTCACTTCCTCTCCTCTAATACCAAGCCATCGTTCCTCATACCTCACAAATGGCAGATGTCATGATGGCATAAAAGCCTGTGTGGCTTTTTTTTTTTTTTTTCTTTCCATACTTGGTTCTTTTCCTCCTCAGTGTCAGTGAAGTTGTCCACACAGAGATGTCCCGCCTGTTCTTGTCTATTTTACTTTCTGTAAACTGTAACTGTACTGTACTCACAGACTCTTTTTGAAGATCCCGCACATTATCAGCATATTTCTTGTTTTCTCATCGATGGTGATCAGTGATGTACCAAATGCCAATGTGAAAACAATGGGACAGGCGTCGCTTGTAGTGATGGACCTACAGAGAATTACCAGCTGAATCTGCAGCTCCCCTTGGCTTCATGGTGGATGCACAGAGGAAAATGTCTTGTTCACCTGCGCTCTCAAAGTGTTTGTGAGCAAATAGGAATGAAATGCACTCCCATCATGCTGCGGGACTGAAGTCTTTCTACAGGATTTTAGATATCATGGAGATACATACAATGAGCTGGCATTTTATCTACAGCATCTTTACATTGAAAATGAGCACATATCCAAATCTTGAAAGGGTAGAAGATCCAACAAAATCTGTCCTTTCAAACCTTTCTCTCACTTTCACTTTCTTTTTCATTCTTTCATTTCTTTTTAACTTTCGTCCTCTGCTCCCACCTTTGACTGAATTATTGATCCTGTGTCGTCTCTTTTCCTCCTGCTCTGATTCACACAGCAGCAGGTCCTGATCACACACAGCGGGAGGGACACCACCATGTGGGCGGACTCTGCATGTGTGTGTGTGTGTGTGTGTGTGTGTGTGTGTGTGTGTGTGTGTGTCTGAGTGTGTGTTTGTCTGAGTGTGCATGTACAGGTGTGTGTGGATGCTCCACTGCACTGTATGTATGTTTTAAAAATACTAAAAATGACAGAATTCTTTTCTTTCCGTGTGTGTGTGTCTGTGTGTGTCTGTGTGTGTTTACAGTCAGACGCTCCTGGTGAGGATAATTGATGATGAAGAATATGAGAAACATGAAAACTTCTTCATTGTGTTGGAGGAGCCACGCTGGCTGAAGAGAGGAATCTCAGGTATTTTTACACGTGTTTTTTTTTTTTTTTTTTTTTTACTGGATTAATTGGATTCTATCATGAAGTCCTGTGGTCTCTATCCAGCTGTTCAGACAGCACCAGAGGTTGATTGCACTTTTAACACCAGCCCAAACAAATCGCATTAAACAGGCAAACACAGGAGTTAGTGTGAACGGCACCAAACACGTCAGATGTGAAAGCAACTTTAGGGCCCATGTACACAGCACCTGACTCCAATTATGCCGCCTGAGATTATCTATCTTAGCCATTATCTGTGTCCACCGAGTCCAGAGTGTCTCACGTGCACCGAGTCTATTTTCACCTGAGCGACGTGTGTCTCTGAAGTGTGAAATTGACTTGTGAATGTATATAATTGCCTGTATTCATCGGCAGTTCTCCTCCTGCTCCCTGTGATCACTGAAACTGTGTTTTAATGCAGCTGTATACACTATGTAGTTGTTCTGATAGTAACAACTATGTTGACCTTTTGTCATTTGCACACTGTAAAACATCAGATAGGAATTTAGTGTCAAATGAGTCAAACGATTTCTTTTCTTTGTTACCTTAATGTAAATATGAAGAGAATATGAGAATATCTAGTTTTAATTTTCAGACTTTAGAACTTGAATGAGACAAACATGATGGAAACTCGCTGTGTGTCTTTAACACACATCATATTAAGTCCTGGTTGTTGCTCTTCACTATGAAATCAATGCTGACCATGATGATGGTTAATATTGAATTCAGTCCAGACCTCCGTCCACTCACAGCAGCCTCACACGTCGTCTTTGTGCTGGCTCTGGTAAAATGGTTTCAACAGTTGCAGCTGTAGGTTCTTCGTGTCAGATGAAGAATTGACTCTAAAAACTGAGAAAAAGGGAAGGAAAATCTGTGTGTAATGACTGTCTTTGTAACTAAACAGTCTATTCCATTTAATATCTGAAGTTTATTGAACTCAAGTTCAGTTCACTTAACTCAGTTAGTTTTACATTTTCAAAATAACATAATAACACAACATTGAACGAGCTGTTGAGTCCAGTTAACTCACATTTTTAAGGCAGCAGGTGAACTTATGTTTCTGAATTGAACAAACCAGTGGAAGCTGCTGAGCTGCAGATAAAATCATTACTTTATGATCACGACATCGACAGACAGAATTAATAAAAATACAGCAGCAGCGCTGTGAGATCGGCTACACTGACATTTAAAATGAAGACAGAGATTAGAAGAAACAAGAAGGCATAAACAAGTACAGCCAAGTACAGCCCTCTGTGAGCAGATCTAATCCCATCTAAATGAGCTGCTGTGTTCTTTGAAAAAAAGAGAAATGTGGGGAAAACAAGTCTAATATAAAGAAAAACTAGAATATAAATTTAACTGCTGAAGAACAGGTGCTCTGCTTCTGAAATGTTTACTGTGGACAGTGAAACCATGACGGAGACAGTGCTTGGTTTCGGCTGATCCCTGTCCCAGCAGCATGCGCTCATGCAGAACGACAGGCACACAGAGAGGGCTGGGAAAGACACAAACAGGTCCGTCAATCTGTCCGTCCCATTCTTATGAACGTGATATCTCAGAAACACAAATTGAAATTTGGCACAAACGTCCAATTGGACTCAGAGATGAGACTGTTGGTCAAAGGTCACACGTTTTTGGCCATAACTCAAGAATTCATAGGCTAATTATAACACAATTTACCACAAATGTCTATAAGGATAAAATGATGAAGTGATGACATTTTATATGCAAAAGGTCAAAGGTCAACTTCACAGTGTGTGTCATAATGTTCTGCATTTGATTGACACACTTGATTTACTTTTATTAAATCCCTTCAAAGTCTTTTTCCATATATAATGCATGAGTCTGCAACTTACCCAGTTGGCGGAGACATACACAAGCATGAGGCTGGAATTCTAGCTTACAAGGAATTTTATAAACTTTCACTGCTTATTAGTTCATATTTACTGTAAATAAAGCCTTCTAAATTAAAATTGATGCAGCTAATCCAAACCACGGCACATGTTTGTGCTGTTTTGTTTTTTTTAGCTGCCTCAGTGACCCACTTTACCCACAGGGATCAATAAAGTTTCATCTTATCTCAGACAAAAAGACACACACACAACTACACACTCATTCAGGAACCCCATCCATTCATCCATTACCTGTCACAACAACAAGGCACAGAGTGATGTGGAAAATGTGGAAACACAGAGAGAGAAAGGATTGTTGATTTAAATTTGAGGATTGTTAGACTCAGAGATTGTAAAGGCAGTGTTAGCTGTATGGAGCGATCAGAGTAGAGACTTTTGTTAATGGTAAATACAAAAACAAACAACATGATGTGTTTATTTGTGGAGAGAGTGGGTGAAAAATATGAAATGAGGAGAATAATGATAAATGATAGACACAGGAGCTTCTTATTATTGTGTCTGTGTGTATTTGTGTGAGCAGTTTGCTGTGTTATTAGGATGAGCTTTGATTCTGTTGAATGTGTGTTATTACTTACTGCTGTTTTTTCATCCCTGTTTTCTTTACAGCTCTGCTGCTCAACCAAGGTAAGACCATCTGATTATTCCTCCCACTTCAAACTCAAGGTCCAAACTTCATCTGAATTGTAAGGAAGTCTGAGCAGAGCTGCAACTAACTAATTGTTTTTATTATCAATTAATCTGCTGATTATTTTCTTAATCAGTTGATTAATTGTTCTATAAAATGTCAGAAAAGAATGAAATTTCCTAAAGCCTAAGTCTTCACGTCTTGTTTTGTCCAACCAACAGTGCACAACCCAGAGATACTGTATGTAGTTTATAATGATATAAAGCAGAGAAAAGCTGCAAATCTTCACAATTAAGAAGCTGAAACAAGGAAATTATTTAATTATCAAAATAGTAGCAGATTAATTTTCTGTCAATCAACTATTTGTTTCAGTTTTAAATCTGAGGATGATCTTATCTTAGAGCCAATTACTGATAATATTAGATCTGAGATATGTGAAGCTTTGGTTTAATCCACATCAAAGCATCAGTAAATTTAGAAAGAGACTGAGACGTTCAGTCATTCTGTGTGCTTTGTTGCATTTCCTGTTGCTAGAGGAAGAGAGAGAACATTAAATGCCCTGGACTACATTTCAGCATAGCAGTGTTGCTTCTTACACAACATATTGAAAAACGCATTTACACAGGCTCATAGCTTGAAGTCATACTGTTCCTGCTTCACTCTCTGTGGGTTTTTCAGTTTCTACCCATGTCTATCCATTCATACCCACAGTCATTATGAGATTTTTCTTAACCTGCCCTGATGGCACCAGACGTCACAAAGACATTGGACTCTAACTGCTCTAGATAGATCGAATAGATAGATAGATAGATAGATAGATAGATAGATAGATAGATAGATAGATAGATAGATAGATAGATACTAGGGGAAATTCATGTGTTCATTACGTCATTGTTGATAACAATAATAATAATAATAAATAAAACAGTTGATAATAAATAAACAATAATAATTAGATTAGTCCACTTCCTTTGGCTGAGGTGTTGTATAGCCTGATGGCAACACAACTTAAAACTAATATCAACATCAGCTGTCGTCAGTAATCTACGTCAAATTGATGTTGGCATTAAACGTTGTCCTGACAACCTGGAAACCTTGGTCCTTGGAAACCCGATGTCTACATACTCCAGGTTGGGTTTTATTTACATATTATTTACATATGGCAGTGAATCCCAAATTGCTCCTGATAGCAGCTCTTGCATGGTGCTAGCTGCCATCAATGTGTGTGTGAATGGGTTAATAAATGGCAAATAGTAAAGAGCTTTGGATAACAGAGCTTTATAAATCCAGTCATTTGCCATTTACCATTGAGAAGTAAACACGGTGTACCCTCAGCTTTAATAGCTAAGTAACAGAGTGAGTGAGTCACTCAAAAGAAGTCTGCGTTCTTCAGGAGCTGACATGCACCTCTCAGGGTTTCCAACATAATCTCCAACAGAACTGATAATGACAGGAAGTTACCCACACGCCAGAGATGACATTAAAGCAACATTCATGTGAAAAATGATAAATGGTAAAAAGCTGCGTTCATTTGAAAATTTCCTTTGGAAAAGAAATCTTATCCAATGTTCCCATGAACAGACACTCATTACTGACAAAGACACTTCTTATATTAATATTTCAGATGTTGTGAAATTTGAACATTAAAAAATTAAATGTCATTTATTTTCAGTTGCAGAGAACGTGAACAGATGCCACATTTTCTTTCTGCTGCAGCCGCTCAGGTTCCCTCTCAGCCAGGACATTGTTTACTCTGGCCCGCACTGTAATAGCACTGACTCACATTCCTGGCACCTCTTCTAGCCTGGCGTGCTGGAGAGATGGGTCTTTGTCTGTTTACATTTGGATCACAGCAGAACCGGCCTCTGTGAATCCCAGCACTGAACAATAGAACAGTTCTGAAACGAGCGTGTAAATTTGCTTGCGCTGATGCAGATGTAACGCTGGGTTTGTAGTCTTTCTTAGACGACCACATGGGCTGGTTGTGCTCGTTGTGCTTTATCATATGTACCGTATTATAATTTGATGTTCTATTTCTTTCTGTGACTATTTAGGAGCCTTGTGTGTGGGAGGCAAAAGAGAGTGGGTGCGTTTCCATTAACGTGCTTAATTTGAAATTGCAAACTTAAAAACCAGTAATGGAAACACGTGAATTTTCGAAGAAAAAAAAAAATCATATTCACATGGTAGTTTTTCAGACTATTCTTATATTCTTATATTTCGCAATTTTAAAATGGACACACTTTTTTCACAGTCGAGTCATGGAGGCTGCTGTACCAGGCCGCAGGGAGCCAGCTCCAACTGGAAATCCACCGACACGTTTAATTGGAACAATATAGCCAGAGAATAAAACCCAGCTTTAATCGCATAACAAAACTCAGTGGAAACACATTGCATTCGCGATTGTGTTTTGTCGATTTAAAAAAAAAAAAATCAGTTCTTTTTTGTGCAAAACCGCAGTGGAAACTCAGCTAGTGTAAATGGGATAATTGGAAAACTTGATTGAATTGTTTATATGAAAATTGATCTTGGATTTGGGAGAGTAGAAGAGAGAATGAAGGTGTGGTCATTGATTTTTGAAAACAGTGCAACTGTATATTCTCTTGAAAATGTTAAAGTTGAAATAATTTAGTGAAAATACATATCATATCTGAATCAGGTCAACCTGCATGAGAGAAGACATCCCTCTCCCTGCTAACTGACGACTCACTGATTCGTGCTCAGATTAGGTTTGAGCAGGAAATCATCCGAGCTTGTGACAAATCCACATTTTCTCCACACAGCAGCAGCTGAGCGCAGTATCCTGAGGAAGCAAGATTTGCTAATAAGCACTGTGTAGTGAAGAAGCAGATGTATTGATTTCCACTGTGTGCACAAGGCTCGTGGTTTCTCTGTGACAACTTCACACACACTTTCCAAAATTCAAAATACCCCCTGCTGCCACTCGGAGCCGATTGGAGGCGGCTGAAGCAGAATTCAGAGGCTAAAAGAAAAGTGCTGTGAGAGCGGGAAGCCCTGCAGCGCTGATGACACATAATGATGCTCATTGTCCCGAAGGTTCTTTGTTACCCGTCTGTCGCAGCAGGAGAGCTGATCTGTGTTGAGTCTGTTCTCTGTTGATGGTACTGCTCAGAGGAAGGACCTCAAAAGCGGAGCGAAACCATATTTGAGCGTGTGTGGTCATGTGTGTATTCATGCATCTGTGCACGTATCTGAGAATGTGTTTATGACAGCCTGAAATAATGTCAATGAATACTGCAGGGATGTTTGCCATATGCTGCTTTACTCCTACAATCTCTTCCTAATTAGACATGAGCTGCCTTTGAGGAGGGGGGAGGGATATAATCTCTGACTGCTCTTCATTCACTCACTCACAAACACATGCACACACACACACACTCGCATACACACACTGCCTCCATACCTCCTGAGCAGAATGGACGAATGAGAAAATGCCACTTACATCAGACATGAACACACACTCAGCCTAGAAGCCTTAAAGTGTTCCTAAAGCTCTTTGTGGACCACAGCAGTGTCACACCCTCTCTCTTTGGTAGAGAGACACTCTTTTGCTGTAAGATGATCCCTGATTGGTTCAATTTCTCAGTTATTTCTAAAAGATGAACTCCGGTTGGTGGAGCTGCTGTTGCTACTCTGTTGGCAGCTGATCAATAACACAAACCGGGCCGTGCTCTCTCTCCAATACTGTTTGGAAGCAGACGCAGAAAGACCCTCAAGTGAATCGATGTTATCAAGAGGCACAAGGTTAAGCTTTTTAGCTTCATCACATCCGGCTTTGTATCTTTCCAACCAGGTGAATAGACCTCAATTCCAGCACGACAAAATCTTTATTACAAGTTGAGTTTGTTGTTTTTGCCTTAATTGGATTGCAGTTAAAATAAATTCTCCATTTGTTAGCAGCAATCAGTGTTGAAACACTTCATTAAACAGCGACAGCACAAAATTAATCAACAGCAATTATGATAATAATAGTTTAAGTCATTTATTAAGCAGAAATGAAAAACATTCCCTGGTTCCCGCTCTTCAAACAACAGTATTTGCTCTACTCTGTAAAGTAAATATCTTTGGGTTTAAGACTGTTGGCTGGACGTTAGGAGTTATATGAAGATGTTATCTTGGACTCTGAGCTAAAACAGTTTCATAATTGAATTGCCGTATTGACTAAATAAATTAATAAAAGCAAGATAAAGTGTAAAGGCGCCTTTACACTGTGTTTTTTTTTCTGGCTGTTCCAGACAAAAGTGGTGAATTGTTTGGTTGTCAGTCGACATTTAGGACCAAAACCTCATAATTGAACTGCTGCTGTGACGCACGTTTACAAAGCAATCAATCAGAATGTCACATTAGATCACATTTTTTTAAGTTTGTCTGAAGCACTGTGATTCATCAGGCCTTCATCATACTATGTGATGAAATGGCTTTAAAATGTATATCGTACAGTCTGACACGGACTCAAGATTGTACCAGACCCTATTTATGTGTCATACATTTTGGTTTTATTCTCAACTTCAATGAAGAAGACAACCAACCAAATGTTGGTGTTAACATTTTGGAAGAAACTATCTGCACCTGCTCTTCTCATTGTTCTCTGTAAATCCTCCTCTCTAATCTTTCTGTGTCGCTGTGCTGTTGCTACCTCTCTCACTCTCTCTCACACACACACACACACAGATATCGTCCATCTGTCATCTTCTCATGTCCTTCACCCACGCTGTGTAAGAACATGCACACACACACACACGCAGTCACGCTCATGCTCACGTACAGATTCAAATACATATTTCAGACTCAAGTGATGTAGTGCAGCTCTAAATAAAATGCTGACTCACATCTATTATTGATGGAGGTAGAACTTGGAAATCTCTGTGACATTTTAGTTTCAACTCACACTCACTGATAGCGTCCTTCTCGTTTCCTTCACATCACCTCTCCCTCTCTTCCTCTCTCCCTCTCTCCCTCTCTCCCTCTTTCCCTCCCTTTTTTCCACCCACAGAGGGGGTGGAGGGGCAGATGAGTGCTGAGGAGGAAGAGGCCCGGAGGATAGCTGAGATGGGGAAGCCCATCCTGGGAGAGCACAGCCGCCTGGAGGTGGTCATCGAGGAGTCATATGAGTTCAAGGTGCACCATAATTTATTTATTTTCCTCACCTTGTTTCCTCTGGTGCCACAGACAATTCATTTCAGCAATGGTCCTTGTTTTTGGTTGTTAATGTTCTCAAATCAAAAATAAATATTGATGGTAGCCCGCAGCAACCTTATAAGTTATTAACAAATCATTATATTCTTATTGAAAATAGAGAAAAGGCTAACAAAGTTCCAAGAGAGGGGTGTATGAAAGGTTAATTGAAAAATAAAATTGATTTTGATTCATTATTTCTTAACACATACAGTATGTACTCCCAGTCCTCCCAGTCTGTGCAGGAGTAGACAGTGTTTGAGGACTGATTTTGTGAACATGAAGGACTGAACTCTGCTCTTCTGGTTGTTACATAATCCACCTCTACCCTCTTTCTCACACTCGTGAGCCCGGGTCCTAACCCTCTCAACAAGCAGCTCTGAAATGGGTTTGAATCATTGAAGATGTATGAGTTGCCCTCGATACCGCAGCTCGCTGGAGGCGTGCAGGATTCAAACTCTCATGACATGCACAGAGTGCTGCTACGTCTGCCCTCTAGGCTTCCACTGCCTTCCCCTGTGCAAAGAGCTACATTGGAGGAATTAGAATTCGAGTAATCCAAATATTTGAAATGTGTGAGCTCAGGTGTATTTTAAGCAAATAAAAGCAGACACTAGCACATGAGCCAATACCCACTGCAGGTCCCTCCAAGCAATGAAATGAGTTAAGTTTATTGGCACAGCAATAAGCCTCCATTCACAAAAGGTTCAACACAGACAAGCATGTTTTATTGCTAATCATTAAATAAATGGATTTTTAAATAAGGAAATGTTCCAGCCCTGTCAAGAGTAGTGGATTTCTTCATACACTGTTTTACCGGAGGCACTGAGCGAAGTACCACAATTTTATAACTCTGAGTCTGTGTGGAATGCACAAAATAAATGATTTAAAGGTCCAATATTGTATAAGGTAGATGTCCATGTGTTGTCAGCAGGTCTAGGTTCTATATTAATACTGTGAAAGTATCAAAGCGCTCAGTCCACAGAGAAATGCACACAGCCTGTGTTCAGAAACCGTCAGGACTTCAGTAACTTTCTGACGTCACAACAAAGCAGTCACCGCTCTCAGACATGCCCCAAGCCCCGCCCGAGTGTTTACCTGAAATCTGCTATATTGTTATTGGATCACTCAGAAAACGGTCCAATCAGAAGAGAGGCTCAGAGCCTGTTGTTACTAGAGCTCCAGAGAGAAGCCTGAGAGAGGAGATGTAAAACTTAATTGAGATGAATTTTGGTTCTTAAAACCACAAATATATCTTCTTATGGATCAACACTTCAAATAAAACACAGGAGAAGAGGAAAATATGGACCTTTAAATATCAATAAATACTATAATTCCTTTCTTCATCAGCATCATGTATGTAAGTGAAGCAGTGTGTGTTTCACAGGTTTCAATGGACCAGAAATCACTCAAACATTCTTGGTTATCAGTTAGTCACTGGCTTCAGTTCTACACTTTGTCTTAATAAGAATCAAAGTCAACAGAGGAAGCAAACAAATCAAACATCCTCCTCACTTTCAGCAGCAGCAGAGATGTGTGAGCAGTCATCACAGAGGGGCAGAGAGTACAAAGGGAATGAGCACGAAACAAACAACATCAACATCAACAAAACAGACGAATTCATCACTCCAAACACGGTCCACTCAAATGCAATATCCTCATCCTCTATGTGATTTCTAAGTCAGCTGACCCCCTGTGGAAATATAATTTGCCTTGTCTCTTATTATTTTGTGGGTAGTGAGATAATAATGCAGTTCAGTGTGATTGGCGTTCAGATTTAGTTCACTGGAGATCAATGGGAGAAGCTCTTTCTGTTGTGGGCACAAATACATAAGTAAGGGCAGCAATGATGTGCCTGTTTGTGAAAGTGGATGGACATGGAGTCATGTGACTGTATATGTCTCAGGTAGTGAATGTAATGTATTTGTAATTAAACGTACTGAGGTGTGTTTCTCTAAAAAGGAAAAAAATCACAGCTCCAAACAAACAGCATTAAGTTTCTCCTTAAGTTGTGACACAGTTAGTGCAGCTGTAGACAAAGTCCGCATATCTGTTCATACTGTATATACATGTTTTTATTATTGATGTATAGACACTATTGTTTTTACTCTGAAGCAGCTGAGAGGTTTGGTTTACTCAGTTTATAACAAACACCACTCTGATACAAACAGAGGTTTATTGCTCTGAGCTGGTGGCAGACGTCTCAGAGGATGGGAAATCAAATCCTCTGCAAATGAAACTGAAAATCAGCACAGCATGTAACACATGGTGAGGAGAATATGTTTGGATTACATTTCTGTTGTGGTACTGTTCGCTGCCTGTAGCCTTCAGTTTCCATAACCCCGTGTTCCAAACGTTTACTTTTAAAAGCAGCAGTCACAATCAAAGCAGCATTTGACTATCCTTATTTTTTTTTCGTCCTACATTTCCCATAATGCAACTCAATAGCATCTTTCATTAGACCCCATACTTCCTGGTAAACACCCGCACTTTCTGTAAAAAATTGTTTCCTCCAAGCCATACAGATGCTCTTTTCTAACCCTGTGGCCCCGCCTCCTTGACTTTGTACAGAGTTCAGTCTGATTGAACTTGAACCTGTGAGGTCGAGAGACTCTCCAATGTCAAGGCAGTTTGAGAGAGGGAGTAGGACAGACCTGTCATTTAGGAAAATATTGTTTGTTTATATTCTAGTTTAGTCTGACTTCACCGTCACCCTGTCACCTGAGCTCGGCTGCAACTGGTTGCTAATGAAGTGTGTTGTGGTTCTGATTGGCAGAGCACCGTTGACAAGCTCATTAAGAAGACCAACCTGGCGCTGGTGATCGGCACACACTCCTGGAGGGAACAGTTTGTTGAGGCGGTCACTGTCAGCGCAGGTGAGCGTGTGTGTGAGTGTAAATAGACATATTACCGGAGGGAGCAAACAACTGCCACGAAGTCTAAACAACTGCTGTGAGCTTGATGAACATTCACAATTCACTGTTTTTAAAGACTCATTAACTGATTACCGTTTGTTATTAATAACTCCATATATGAAAGCGTCCTGGTTCTGTAAACCAGGGTCTCCAAGTTCCCCATTACTGTTGTTTTGTAATTAGGGGCCTGGCCTTGCAGCCTTTACTGATAATGAATACAATCAGCCTGTTAACATTTTATATAATGAACTTACATCTGTACTCCTTGAAAAATAACCCAATCAGTCTGTTTTGTGACACTAGGTCTTATTTTCAGATGTTGTCCATCTTGTTTAAACTGGGTGATTTTGGGCTGTTCCCAGACTAAATTGACGGTTGTGAGAGAAATCTTTGGTCGTCAGATGAGCTTAGCTTGCTGTAAGTCCACCAACAGCGGAGTGAGAATTTTGCTACATTGTCAAATCATGAAAACAGATGGCATCGATTTCTCTGCTCTGCTGTTCAGTTTACATCCAATTCAGCAGGATTTCATTCCACCATATTGTACAATCTGACACAGGCTGCAGCCAAGATAATTGGTTAAATAAAATGAAATAAAAAGGTTTTTAATAATTATTAAACCATTCTCACAGTGTGACACAGTTAACTTGCAAGATTGTTGTTATTGCAATGTATCAGTTCTACTCATTTATACAGATGTTGTTTAGCATTCAATACAACTGCCCACCTAAACCAGGACTGAACCAACCAGTGTTTTTATCTCTTGGTAGTACACACAGAAAGTCAACTCTCTCAATTAAAATACTAAATATTGGTTTTAAAACAGCAGTCTTATTAGACTGCAAAGTTGAAACACATGAAGACAGATGCAGATGGCTGTCACAATGAATCTGTGCTCTTATTCAACCATGAGTGGCTGGTGGGAGAGGGATTTGTGATTCAAGGCCACCATCTAGTGGAAGGAACGGTTCGCTACAGACAGTAATGTCTCCACTCTCAACAGCTTGGACTTAAAAGTCTGTACATTAAATCTCTATATGCTGGAACCCCCTGAGAATGCTGATGCATTTTAACATCACTGTGTTCTTATAATATCATGAGCATGAAACCTGTTGATCTTGCATCAGCCTTGTCCATGTGCACTGTGAAGTTTCTGTCCATGTCTAAATGTTTAACTTGTTGAAAATGTTCCAACTCTGATCTTCTCCATGATTTTGTCTCATGTTCCTCCTGTTTCCCTCTCCGTCAGGTGACGGCGATGACGGTGAGGAAGGTCGTGAGGAGCGTCTTCCATCTTGTTACGACTACGTCATGCATTTCCTCACTGTCTTCTGGAAGGTTCTGTTCGCCTGCGTCCCGCCCACAGAGTACTGGAACGGCTGGGCCTGTTTCTTCGTCTCCATCAGTGTCATCGGCCTCCTCACCGCCGTCATCGGCGATTTGGCGTCACACTTCGGCTGCACCGTGGGTCTGCGGGACACAGTGACTGCAGTGGTGTTTGTGGCATTGGGAACTTCTATTCCAGGTGAGTGAAAGTCCTCTTTTAGTTTGTGGGAGCAGGAAAGTATAGAGGGAAACACAGGTGAGACCAGACCACGTGACATGAGCAGAACTTTTGTGTCATGATCATGCATCATGAATCCAACTATTAAAGGTCCCATATTTGACAGTTTTCTGTGTTTTATTTTGAAGTTAAACTTTTCTGAGTGATCTTATTAATGTATATAAATAGATTTCAGGTAAACACTCTAACGAGAAACTAAATCCTGCAAGTTTCGGTGGTGGGTACACGTGGGCGGGGCTAGGGGCATGGCAGAGGGTGGTGACTGCTTTGTTGTGACATCACAAAGTTACAAACGTCCTGACAGCTGGTTTTAAGGCTCAGTTTCTGAATACAGGCTGTGTGCATTTCTCTGCTTTGATACTTTCACAGTATTAATATAGAAACTCGACCTGCTTTATAATCAAACAACACATCACATCACAGAAGTCACATTGCAACAACATGCTTGTCAAGAAATTCGCAATCCATTCAATGAGATTTAAGGTTCCATTTACATGAGAAAGAAGTTTCACTGGGTGTGAGTCTGGTGTCATCAAAACTGAAATGCATCTGCCCTTCCACTTGCTTCAGTATCTGTGGTTTTATCAAGCACAGAACAGGTGGACTCAGAATGCAGAGACAGGGACAAAGAGAAGGAGAGTTCGGTAGTTGTTTATTCAGTCCAGTTTCAAAAATACCAGGAAATCCAATCCACGGGGCAGAGGTACAAAATCACTAGGCGAGTACTCGGTATCCAAAAGGCAAAAACTGGTCAATAACACAAGGGATATAGATATATATGTAGAAACAGACGCTGGACCGCTGAAGGGAATCCGACAAGACGATCTGGCACAGAAGGGAAAAAACCCACCACATATATTCACTGAATGATAACGAGACACAGGTGTATCACATTAGGAGAAGGGAGGCAATCAACAGGAGGGAAGGAAACTAGACACTACAAGGAAGAACACACACCAAAATAAAACAGGAAGTAGACAAGACACAAACGCAAAACCTACCAAAATATATTACAAAACTACCCGGGCCCTGACAGGTTTAACCAGTTTCTCAAAGCTTTTCATTGACAAAGACGTGAGAACCACCGGTCGACAGAATGTCAGTGTGACATCTCCTCTACTTTTCCACTGTGTTAAATATTGGCCCAAGAAAGCAGCAGATAGTACCAGCTGTTTTTTGAGTGGATTCTTCCAATTGATATTTTCCACATCTGCATGACTGCAAACATCCACAAAGGTTTACATGACATAAATTGTCTGTGAATGTCTACATGCAGCCCAAAACTTATACCCACCCCTAACAGTGCAGCTACTTCTGTTTGTATGTGCATATGTATGTGTGTGAATGTGTATATGCATGATTTACTCTTCCCACCTCTTTCTCTCACCCAGACACCTTCGCTAGCAAAGTGGCCGCCATGCAGGACCAGCACGCCGATGCATCTGTCGGAAACGTCACTGGTAGCAACGCTGTCAACGTGTTCTTGGGGATCGGCGTGGCCTGGTCAGTGGCCGCCGTCTACTGGAAAATCAAGGGGAAGGAGTTCAAGGTGGACCCGGGGTCGCTGGCCTTCTCTGTCACGCTCTTTACCATCTTCGCTTTCATCTGCATGGCTGTGCTCCTGTTCAGACGCCGGCCCTCCATTGGCGGAGAGCTCGGTGGCCCAAGGGTGCCCCGCCTCCTGACCAGCCTGCTGTTCCTGGGCCTGTGGTTCCTCTACATCCTTTTCTCCAGCCTGGAGGCCTACTGCCACATAAACGGCTTTTAAAAACGGAGATGGAGAAAGTTCTGGAAGAATATTGCACAACAACACACACATATACTTTAACACTCAGTCCACACAGCTCACAGTTCGACATGAAACAAGTGTATGATTCATCTGTTTAATGAGGCTCACTGCAGCCTGGAGGTGTCCTGGTCTTCGATACAGGGACACTCAAATACTCCAGATACATGTTCACACACACACACTTTATATGTACACATGTGTAAACAGATCAGATCATAAGAGACACACACAGGCACAGTTACAGGCATGATGTAGGGCGAGAGGAAGTGTTTGTGAAGGGCGAGAAGTGAGGATACAAAAGGTTACAGTGGCAAAGTTAGACGAGGGAAGATGGAGAGACAGAGAGAGCGGCTGTGGAGTTTTCAAGGTGAAGAGAGGGTCAGCCTCTGGAGCGCTGTTTCATTCTGTGGTATAGAAGGTTTATTTTAGAGTCAGGTGGGTTTAGGTTGGATTAGAGGATCAGACCACTGATAGAGAAGAGCAGGCCTGTTATTGTTAAGATGGAACATAAACCTGTGCACACTGGACAACATTTCTCCTGAGTTACATCCTACAACAAAACGTGTCCCTGCCACCTCTCCATCTTTACTGGTACAGCTCCACGTTTCCTCACAGAGGAGGTGGAGTGCTGTGTGAAAAAAGGAGTGGAATGTTTACAGCAACATGAAGTCTGTTTACTACAGGAGAGTCATATAAAGTGGTGATGCTTGTCTAATGCACAGTATAGATGAAGGCTGTTCTCCACACACGCTGTAAATAGTAAAAAACGATGTACATATAGAGTGTAGTGTTTTCAGGAGGCAGATAGTGTTGCCACCAGTGAAATACGTAGAGAGGGTGAAAGAAAGGATCCCCCAGAATGCAAAGCTACTTTTTTGTATAGAAAGCCAAATTACAGTGAAAAGAGGGTTTTTGAAATTCATGCACAGACTGGAACCAGGCCACAGGTCCCAAACATTAGAAAGTGAAGTTAATGACTGAAATCTTAGCTGAGCAAATAAACAAATGATGAACTGGTGAAATACAAGTTTAGAAGTGGCTGACAGTTTTTAAAGAGCCATTCCTCCCCAGCGTCTTTGTGTTCCAGTCAGATGTGTCTGTTAACCAGATGTTCTCTCTCTGGCGGAGGCTTGTGTGTCAAACTAAAGGATTATTTTTTTGCATGTGTAGCCAGATACGGAGCATCTTCACATAATAAGTCTCATATATATACTATGTAAAAGGGAATGAACAGAATCCACCTGTAGATTACATGCCTGCATTTGTGTGTCTGCTTGGTGAACAGAAACTATCAGCTGGTCCTTGGTGATAACTCCTTCCCGTAGAAATGTGTGTGTAGGCAGGCAGGAAGGAGGAGAGGCGTTTGGTCTGAGAGGAACAAAAGGACATTTTCCTCCTCAGAAAAGATTAAATATGTAGAGTCTTTGTTTGAGGCTTTTTGCTCCATCCAGATGGACTGAGATCACTGAACAACAGTCAGTCATCACTGTGACACTGTGGTAGTGACAGACTCATCCATTACTGTGGCATGTATCCTGACAGACTAATCCTCTATCTTTAGTGACAGCAGCATGTCAGACAGAGAGAGACTTAACAGTGTTAGTTTAGCTCAGTGGTTCTCAAACTTTTTCTGGCATGCCCTCCTTCAGAAGCCAAAAAAAACCCCAACCCACAATTTTTGTCAATCGTAAATAATAATAGGGGAATTAATTGTGTGAAATACAGATCAGCACTGTTTTGTTTATTTCCTCTACATAAATCATATTCACTCAACTTAATTTCACTCCATATTTTCCTCATCATCCTACCAACCCGCCTCAGTAAGGACACAAGACGCAAACGGAAATGAGGTATTATAGAGAAGGCAGGATTGTGTTGGGGTGTGAAAGAGACAAAAGGAGGAGGTTGGGAATGAAATTGTGAAGGAGTTAGCCCCCCACCACCAACCACACGAATGCCACGTCACACCCACCCACCCACCAGCCCTGCAGTGGCTCTATGCCTCCCTCCCCACAAGGGGGTGTGCCCCCCAGTTTGAGAACCACTTGTTTACTTTAAAGAGTGAAGCCTCTAAAGCCAGTTAATTGCAATTAAGTCATTTAATACCTGACTAAATAGATTCCAAACATCAAGATTCACTTATAGATCAGGACACAGGATCCTGCAGGATGTTAGTCTACACCACACTGATGCTTCAAGACAGCACCAATACAATGCCTTAAGGAAAACGCTCAAGTGAAAATCTAGTATTCAAGCTCTCAGCTGAACTAACTGTCCAGACTGCACTTTGTTTGATGGAACTAAAACATATAGTGTTGTGTGTTTTTTTTTGTCTTTAGCTAAGAAATCGTTAGTGTGCAATATGTGAAGGGAGGGTCACTGAAGGAAAACTATGAACTGTTTGAAAGTTTGATTCATGTCAGACTGGATCTTTCTTCTCCTGTGGGAAGGGGTTGTTGTAATTTGTCCCCGTCCATCCATCTGTGTTTAGAGCACAATACGCTGTATGTAAGAACCTGCTAAAAATGACTTTCCATTCTGGTGAACATTGTTTAAAAGGACTAACTAAACTATGATGTAATGTTCTCCAGGCTTTGTTTACAGCGTGTAGGTCAGCAGCAGATAGGGCTTCATTTTGCAGACAGCTGACAGGTCCACACTGTCAAACCTAGGTTTAAATCAAAGACAGTTTCTATAGTCATAATACCACAGCATAGACTGTTTTCAGTGGGAAACACATTAGAGAACACTGCCCCTCATGACATGTATGTGTTGCTCAGTATTGCATGGCAGAGTTGGAACATACAGTAAAATGTTCACAAGCTACTGAAACTACTGGCTGCTAAATAGATAGGATGCACAACAGAGAGGTACAAAACGAAGAGAGGTGCAAATGAAAAAGTAAATATCACAGCAAACGTAGCGAGCAGTGTGCAACATGATGGTGTGATATGAATTATTAGCTTAGACACAAAGCATCAACAGCCCAGCGTCCTTTTGTACACGTCGAGACATCCCAGTCAACATTATAACTACTGTAAGATTTACTGCCTAATATCAGTCACCTTAATATATTCCTGTGAGAACGTTGTGCTTCGTGCTGCAGGTGCATTACAAACATTTCACCCACAAATAATAAGTGCTATACAAGTGGAAATTGTTATTACTCTTATTATATACAATAATATTGGAAAGATTCAATTCATTTACCCTTAACTAACTATACTTTGTAAACTTTCTAAAACCAATTTTGTATCTTTTCCTTACAGATATATCCGAGGTAGATTTTTTTGTACTTCTAAACAATGTTTAGAGTAGTATCAGTATACAGAGTTGGTAGTGTAGATTAAATCGTTACTGAATTTAGTGGATTAGATTTTGATATATTTTCCACAGAGGAAGCTCCCCTTTGAACTGCTCAAACAGTGTAGTGTATCATAACCGAGCGTAATCTCATCTCATTTAGTCAAATACTTTATCTGCTGACTCGTTCGTGTCTGTGTTACTTATGTATATTTATTCTCATGAGATTATTTAGATATTTATTTATTTACAAGAGGATTATTTATCTATGGATAAGCTGTGCCACAGGTCCTTGAGGTGAACAGTTTGGAGTTTAGTTCAAGGAGCGTGGTTTCAACGTGCAATACAGGATAAAATTCATACGCATCTTATTTCGTTAGTGGGTTTTTGACGAGAGGTCAGTTGACATGTTTTCCTGCTGCAGTGTTTGTTGTTACCCTCCGCCAACGTACATTTCTTCATCCAGTCCTCCTGAAGAGGGAGTTTTGACTGTAAGTAGCATGTTTACATGAAGAAACAGTGTGGAACATTGTAAGTATGATTGTCAGTCTCGGCTTGGTTTGAGCTGAACAGGGACATTTTGTAGATATTAATGGTGGCTTTGAGGCAGGTCAGTGGTGTGTGAGGTTGTGACAGTAACTTAACTGAAGTTCACTCACTAAACCGCCAGCTGGGACCAAGATTACACAACACACACACACGCACACACACGCACACACAGGTCTGCTGAAGTAATCTGTGACTGGGTGAAAAATGATCAGCACCACCGGGTACAGAATGGATCAGCTCTTGTGTCCGGTGCTCCCAGCTTTGTCCCAGCAGAAGTGACCCAGATGTGGCTCAGCGCCCAAGAACAGAACTGTGTACAATGTCCAGACAATGTTCCTTGTTTCCATGAACTTCTGTACTAACTGTCCGGCTTCGGCCTTTGCTGTTCTGTAGCTAGATGTGATGCCTCCCCGATCCAGACTCTCCTCCTCACCCCTCCCTCCCCGGTGTGTGTCTGTGTTTGCCTCCCTCCGTGCTCCTCTGCAGATGCATGATGAATCCCTGTGTATGTGTGTTAGCAGCATGGTCTACTGTGATGGACGCCTATAGGCATATTTTATCAGATTGATTCCCCCGCAATCCCAAAAACACCAGAGACATTCTGTGAAGTGAAATGAGCAAATGGCACACACAGAAAACAACCACAACTCCATACAGACGTACTGATCAGAAACACACACAGTCACACACAGACAACATTTATGGATTCAGAGTCTCCTGCGTGTTGGTTTTGTTACCTTCAGAAGCTGTGAAAAGAGAGCCCGCTCTGCGCTCTGTTGTGTCAAGGCTACGTCTGCAACGAGCAACACCCCAGGTCATCTTTTTGTTTGTTGGTGTACGATATTTCTGTGTCTGTGTTAGTGTCCCCCTCTTCTTCCTCCCCCTCCTCTTCTTCTCCCATTCGCTCCCTCCCAGGTCTTGCTCTTCATTGTGTTTCTCTGTGAAGTTTTTTCCTGTGATGATGAAAATTTCTCTCTGCCTGAACCTTTGTAGGGAAATAATGACTGAGTTACTACAATATCATGTGATAGGCATATACATTTATTCAATACTGTAATAAATTATTAACTGAAGATGATATAAAAGTTTTTTTTATGAAATGCAGAAAAGAAAATCTTAGAAAAAAATGACAATTTGTTTTTGAGAACATGGCATGAGGTGTAATGTGTTACTGAAAGAAAATGAAGGTCTTTAATCAAGTGAAGTTGACCTTGTTTGAATATAGTTTATTTATTTTCAAGGCGTGACGTGTCTGAGTCATTATTTTTGGAGTGAATGAGACAACAACCCTCCTCGTATACAGCCACACAGGGCATTTGTGACATGTAGGTTAACCATAGCTCTAAAGTTCTGTTCAAAATGACTATGATGATTTCAGTCTAAGTGAGCACAGTGCAGGAAAACAAACTGAATAGAAACATCATAAATAAAATAAACATAGCATTGGACTGAAAACAAATATCAGAACATTTTTTTCACTGGGCTCTTTGATTTTCAACCAGAAATATTAAAAACAGTCACTTAAGGCAGAGGCTTTGTAGGCCCCCCTGACCCAGTCAGTAATACATCAGGACCTAGATCAGGATGTAGTTATAAACTACACCTCGATACCTTGTGTGTTTTTGGTCAAAGATGTGATGAGATTTTAATTCACCTGCTTTACCCACACTAAAATCTTTGATACTGACATAATGAACTTTATTCATAGGAGAAAAACAACAGAACAGATGAGAGATATGCTGTTTGTGGCAGGAATGGACAATGTTAGAATACAGTGATATATTATACAAATATACACATTTTATACAAGTCGAGAATGAGGCAGCCAGTCTGGTTTTCGATCAGCCTAAAAGGACACATGTCACTCATCAACCTACACTGGCTACTCATGGCCACCCAAATCAAATCCAAGTCCCTATTGCTGCCTTCAGAGTGACTTCTAGGTCTGCACCATCTACTTGAACTCAGTCATTCAGCCTCATGCTCCTTCTCAGCCACTGTGTTCCTCCAAGGAATGTGGTCTGTCATCACCAACCCTGCTCACAAGACAGTCTCAGTCCAGACTGTTCTAGTCTGTGGTTCCCTGATGGTAGAACAAGCTATGGAAAGCTGCCAGAGCGTCCCTCTCTATATTCAAGAATCTCTTGAAGACTACTCTAAGAGCGCCTACTCTCCTAACACCTTTAACACCCTAACATGCCTAACTTGCGCTTATTGAGTCTCTCCAGAGACTCTACTCTTTTTGTAGTTTGAACAGGTATGATGCAAAAATGCTGTGTGTCTTTAATACACATTAAATTAAGTCCTTGTTTCTCTTTACAGTAATGTAAACAATGCATGACAAAGGTTAATATAATTCAGTCCCAACCGCCCCAACCCTCATCCACTCACAGCAGCCTCACATGTTGTCTTTGTACTGATTCTGGTATAAAATGGTTTCAACAGTTGCAGCTGTAGGTTCTTCATGTCAGATGAAGAATTGACTTTATAAATTGAGAAAATGTAAAATGAAGGAAAATCTGTGTGAAATTACTGTCTGTGTAACTAAACAGTCGATTCCACTTAATATCTAAAGTTTATTAAACATTATTGAATGTTTTCTCAAGTTCAGTTCACTTCGCTCAATTAGTCTTACTTTTTCAAATCTCATAGCACAACGTTGAATGAGCTGTTTAACCTAAGTTCCATTCACATTTTTAAGGCAGCAGATGAACTTATGTTGCTAATTTGAACAAACTTAAAAGGATTTACACGAAACTGTCTCTCATATAAGCAAAACCCTCAAGCACCAGAGTAAAACTTTGTTTACTCTATACTTCTGTTTACTTCAGTACTTACTTTTACTCAATTACTTTATTATCAATAAAATTGGTGTTGATGGCTTTTTTGGAATGCATTATGTGGTGCAGGGATTCACATTATTTGATAACAAATGCTAGATTGATAAAGATAATCCGTATGAATGTATTCTCACTGAAGAATGTGACGTTGGCATTTCTAACTGTGACCGCTGAAAATTAATTAATTTTAAATATATTTACTGTAAATTTTGATTGAGTGTGTCGGTTTTTTTCGGGGTTTTTTTTTTTTTTTTAATTGTACCAATTTAAATATGCCTAATACATAAAACACGTTGATTATATCTAACACAGAGCACAAGTTGCAGGGATACTTAACAATATACAGTTCTTAGAAAATAATTATTAAAATCAAATAAAAATAAAAATACATAATAATTTAATGAATTTTGACGGTGTAAAAATAAACAACTACAAAAAAACAAAACAACAAAAACAGTGATGTCCGTCTGGTGGTCGCTTGATTTCGAAGGATTGACCGGAAATGTCTTTGTGCGCAGATGCGGAAGTCACAAGGTACAGGGTTGCTTTACGTTGGTCGTTGCTAACCCGGTCACCTGCAGGATAGACCTGTGGAAGAGCCGTTAGAGCTCGTAAGTGGCTGGTTAGCGAGTTTATACCACAAAAAAAACATTTCATAGGCTAGATACCACCTCGGACTTCAGTTCGAGTTGGTCAAACTTTCATTTACGCTGGGAGCAGATTCAGAAACCAACGGAACGGCGGAAGGAAGGTAACGTTAGCTAACGCGTGCCGCCGCCATTGTTTATGAGCAGGCGGAGAGTGAGGCCTTAAACTAAGTCATGGATTTAACCACTTATATGCTCAGACATCAAATGTGTGTGCGTGTTTGATTTTAATTATTTTCTATGAAAATATCTGCCAATATGAAATTATGAAATTGAGTGTTGGCGAGCTAGAAATGTGTCCATGATTCTAAACGCTCATACGATTCGTATCATATATTTAAGCGGGCCTGTGCGCAATAATGTCCTCACATGGTATTACATACGATGGCTCTAAATCTATTCGTCATAAACCACGGTTATTCAGAAAAATGTTATCGATTGCGTTTGTGAATGAAGGTGACGCGGCTAATTTGTGCCATAGCAAACAGCAGCTGTTGTCGGTGTAAAAAGATCTGGGGAGGCAGGGGTTGGCGCGTTAACAAGCTGCAGGAACCATGTGGAGCTGCCGCACCTGCTGAGCCACCAAACGAGATGTGTTTAAACCCTTCTCACACCGGGGTCCTCAAGGGATCTCTACCAGCTCCACAGATCATGTATTGAAGACAGTGAGCTCAGCTCCTCACAGGGATCAATAAACTCCTCTTAACCAGCAGCTATAGTTGTATGTGTTTGGATGATAGCTGGCCCAGAAACCCTAATATCCATCTTCCGATGATATATGGACAAGGAAGGGGAACCCTTTTCTCCTGTAAGAGGTTGAAATCAGCAGATATTAAGTGTTTCAGTTATTGGAATTGTTGGCATGTCACATATGTGGTTAACAGTGATTCTAATAACTGATTGATCTGCAGGTTATTTTCTTAAATAGTCATTTCATCATTTATTCAATAAAATGTCAGAAAATGGAGAAGAATGTCTTGTAGTTTTCCAGCGCTTAAAGGTGACATTTTTACATTGATTGTTTTATATGTCCAAATACCAAAGATTTTCTGTTTTGCTTGAAAGATAACTGAAACCATTATGTCAAAAAAGTTGCAGAGTAATTTTCTGCAGTTTAATTCAGAGTAATGCACCAATTGTTTCAAATCTACTGTATGCACATTTTACCTTTCTCCCATCAGGCAAGGAGAGATGTCATACTACTCATCCCGTAGTTCATCTCGGGCCACCGACTGCAAAGTGTATGTGGGTGACCTGGGAAATGGTGCTGCCAAAGGCGAGCTGGAGCGAGCGTTCAGTTATTATGGCCCACTAAGAAGTGTCTGGGTGGCCAGAAACCCACCTGGGTTTGCCTTTGTGGAGTTTGAGGATCCCAGAGATGCAGAAGATGCTGTGAAAGGCATGGATGGAAAGTGAGTCATAACATTCTCCTGTAATATTTCAGTAGTGTTTTTGTATTGATTTTTTATAAAGCGCAGTAGTCTTGAAGTTTTACCAAAAATGACTTACTATTTTGTAATTTACAAATTTCGTCGACAACAGTGTTTAGCCCTTATGTTTTGCTCTTGAGTCCTGTGTATGTTGCCTTGTAACAGACAAAATTGTCAAATTTTAGGGAAATGAAGACAAAAGTGTAATCATATCTAGATTTGCAAATCCTTGTAACCTGCATGAGGATGTTACTTACCTCTTACTGACCTTTGTTCTGCTTAGGGTCCTTTGTGGTTCCCGTGTTCGTGTTGAGATGTCAACAGGTCTCTCCAGAAAGGGCCGTGGGCGCCCCAGCCGACGCCAGTTTGACCCCAATGACCGGTGTTACCAGTGCGGGGACCGGGGCCACTATGCCTACGACTGCTACCGCTTCAGCAAGAGGGGCCGTCGCAGCAGGTGAAGAAATACAGTCTGTTTTGCTCGTGGCTTCCACTCAGGAAGCTTGGCATTTTATGCTTTGAGGCAAACAGTATTTGCCATCTTGTACCATCAAAGGAGTAAAGGACAGACAGGAATAATCCCATTTTTCCATTCCAGGTCTCGGTCTCGCTCCAGGTCTCGCTCCAGGTCCAGATCCCGTGGACGCCGCTATCGCTCTCGCTCCCGCAGCCGAAGCCATAGTCGGTAAGTCCGGATCAAAACACAGCCACACCTTATGAAGTATTAACAGGATTGGTAGTTCTTGTTTGCTGTTTATAATGTGAGAACAGCACATGGACTAAATTAGGAAGTCTGTGATCAATAATACAAATAAAATAATGTAGGTGCCATTTAAAAGCTGGATCAATGATCAAAAACCCAGGGGAACTTATCTGTCTGCATTGAGTACAGTCTCTGTCCAGAGTGTTTGGCAACATGTTCTAGGGTTTGGGGAGAGCTCACATGATGAATTTAATGTGTTCACTGGCTTTTGGTTTTAATTTTTGGTGCTTTGAGCATGACAGACAAAAGGTGATATCAACCTCAGCAAATCACAACAAACCAGGTTCATATCTAAATTGATAAGTCACTTTGCAAATGAGCTGCCATGCAGACAGGTAAAATGGATCTGTTGTGTTTCGTCCCCGAGTTGGCTCTCCTGTAAGTGTCAGAGCCTCCATGTGAGATGCCTCTGTTGTATGTTTAAAACTTATTTTGGGGCAGTGCTCAATCTTTCATCCCAGGGCGCAGTGTTTCTGGTTTAACAGCACTGTGCTGGGTAGGTGACAGGTGTGTTAATAGAAAAACAGTGTGTTTACATCACTGTCGATCTGAGCCGATAAATACCCACGGCTACTGCAGAGTCATTTGAGCCGGGAGCAAATGCCAGTTTTACCCTTTCACATTGCTGACAAAAGCCATTTGTTGGCAAGTGTTAGCGAGTTTTTTGACCAGTGTAACCAGGGGCTTAAGAGATTGAACTCTGGATAAAAACTGGAATTGTGCTCACTATCTTACAAGATTTTATTTACATATGCAAACAGGTTTTATATTGTATAATAAACTGTAATAAACAGTTAAGTTTTGTGGTGAGGTGTGCTGAGTATTTATCCTTTTTGTATTTTTTGTTTTACTTTCTCAGGAGCCGCCGCAGATCTCCATCCTATTCCAGACGCAGGAGCAGGTGAGAACAGAGCTTGTATAACGATATTTAACTAAGATTTAACTGCATCCTGCCACGGGCAGTTCATTCATTTGGGTGCTTTAGCATTTGCGGGATATGTGAGAGATGTAACTGCTCCTCATCAGGGTTGTGTAAATCCAGTTTTTTCAGAAGGTAGGAGGGCTAAAGGGCAGAGCAGATTATTATTACCCCCCCCAGGGACCAATTATGTACATGTGCAGTGTGTGTAATTTGTTCAGCCTCACTCCGGTTGTTAACTCCTCCAGTGTTGCCACCGTTCCCACAGCTGCAATTAAACCTCTATTTCCTCTAACATTAGGTCTGGCTCCCCAGCCCGTTCTAAGTCCAGGACTCCAGTGAGAAGGTAGGTCGTGTAAGCTGCATGTTTTCGAATCATAATTACACGGCTTGTGTCTGAAACAAACTGTTGCTGTCATTGCAAACCCTTCTGCCCAGGTCACATGATTGTAGAGTGAGACACACAGAGTAAAGATTGTTTACAAAGAGCAATAAACCACTTACTGTGTCTTGTACCTGTTTTCTGTAAATCACATTTTTCAGTAGTGATTTTTGTAAAAGGCTTTGATTATGCTTCTTTGGGCTGCATGTATGCGAACACATATGGCTGTTCATTCATGTCTGACACATTCATGCATGCTTTTCATATAGATTGGAGGTTTAATGTACTGTAAGCAATGTCACTTTTATCAATCACAATGCAAAGAAAAAATAGAAGAAATCAATGGAAAAGGATTAGAACTAGATTTTATCTACATAATTGGACCAAACAGTGAAAAGATGAGCAATGATATTAAGTGTTAAGTGCTACAAGATCATTTGAAATGTTCACACAAACTCTGACACAGAAAGTAGAGAACTTTCTGACACAGTGGTGGATCAACCTGTAAGCTTGCCTGTCGGCCAGGTCAGCACTACACAATGAGATTTAGATTTGTGTACATCTGCTTCTCAGTGAGTCTCTGCAGCCATCCATGACACCCTTCTCTGCTTAGGTTTGTAAAGATGTTTACATAATCCTAGCTTTATCATTCAATAGTGTTGCTTGAAAACCTTGTTGTTGTTTTTTTTTTTTCTTCCAGTCGCTCCCGATCTCGGTCTCGGTCCGGCTCTGCGCCAAGAGGACGCTCTGTCTCCCGATCCCGTTCACGATCTCAGTCAGCTAATCACAAGAGGAACAGGTAAACCCTCAGTCTAGATGTATTTCAGTCACTGAAACAGGGTGTAGGCTGTCTAATAAATTTCTAGTGCTTTGTTTTACTAAGACATTTATACGTGTTTAACACCTGAGTAGGAAGAAGGTCCAGTAATGTCTAGATGATCCATTATAGATTTTAGATACTATCCTGTGTTCCAAGTGAGGGTCAGTTATGTTTTTCACACTAGCCAGAGCTAGGTGTTCCACCCTAGGCAGGGATTGACTGTTAAATAGACCCTCATTCCACCTGGGAGCATCATGCTGTCACCAAACGGCCACCATATGACGATGAGATGGACGACCGCTGAGACCCCTCCGCCTCCTCGGCACAGAGAGACCTGCAGCTTGTGCCATGTCTTCTGACTCTGCTGTTGGCCAGTAGTGGAGAGGGAGGGCTAGAGGACAGGGACTTGGCCCCCTGTCTGACGTAGGGAAGTAAAAGTAGATGAAAGATTAGACCTCTCTTGTGCTCTCTTTTCCAGTGCTCAAAGGCTCTGCACTGTTAAATCTCATTGTAGCTCTTTATCAGTCCCAGTTGATCTTGGAAAAAAGAGCACATGAAAGACAGTCTCTGCTCAGCTTGTAAACTGTTGACTCATAGAAGCTAAAAACCAGGGAGATGCAACCATATTCTCTGTACTCCTGCTTTTCCCTGATCTCACCCATGTAGTCCTTTTCTAAATGAATTTACTGACAGAGAAAGGGAGTATTTTTTATTTTTTTTATTGGATTGACAAGTGTTAAGTAAACATGGTCAGAGGTAGCATTTTAAATGTTTTACTTTTTTCTTAAATTTTAATTCCCTATCCTGAATTTGGCTAGATGAAGAGAACTCTCCAGAAAAATATTAGCTGAGATCAGACAAAACGACACCCTTGGTGTGACTTACGGTAAGCATCTTTGCAGCACAGTTTTGTTTATTTTTCATATTTTCTTTAAAGCGTGTGGTGGGAGCTGAGCACTGCACTGACACCGCAGCTGATCCCAGGCCCAGGGTCTGCCAGCTGGCGGTGTGTACGTCCTGCGGGAGGGTGACTAAGAGCTGACCTGAGATCAGCCTTCGCCTGCATCTGGTGTTAGACAGCGAGAAAGAGGTCGACCTACCGACCAAACCCTCCCCACAGTGAATGGGCGACCGTCTGTTCAACCGACGCACACGCTCAGACGAGATCAGCCCGCGCACACATACAGTTGTTCTACTAGAGTGGGCCACCCAGCCAGCCAGCCAGCCAGCCAGCCAGCCTTCAGATGTACCAGAGGGCTGACCCACACAGATCAGAGTTCGACCACTACCTTTTTTAATCCATAACCTACCTACCAGACCCCCCTACCTACCTACCAGAGTTCTTCGGCCTCTGTCTTAGCTTCTGAAAGTGAGAGAAAGAGAGCTGACGAGAGATCAGTCTTCAAGAGCCTCCCAGCGCAGTGTCTCTCCAAGTTGTAGTCATCCGTCCTTCAGTCCTTTCATCCTTCGCTTCTCTGTACTTGTTGTTTCTGCCACTGTCTCCAAAGGTAACCAAAAATCAAACCCCCTGACAAGCTCATTTTGATGATGAAAGAAAATGCACAGACTTGATGTAGTCTGGGAAACTGGTGATGACAGAGCTAAAGTTGAGCCTTTAACAAGCATGCACAGAGTACAAATGTGTGGCTGCATGTGAGAGTGCGTGGATGACTGAGTGCAAGAGAGGAAGGCAACATGAATTTTAATGGGCTGATATCTCTGAGGAGGCTTTGTCAGATATGTTTTTCTTCTTGTGCCATACATGTCACAACATCATTACCATTTTAAGCTGCTTCTCTATTATAGTTTCTACTTTAGTACTCAAACTCAATCTGTAGTTCCTTTTCTGGTCATGGTATAGAACAGTTTCCATCTGTTTGTGCTGCCCCTCTTTCTGTGTTTGTAGTTGTTGAAGGATTAAGTCCTAAATCTCTCCTTAGAGCAGAAACTATGCTAACAACCTGTTCTAGAAGCAAGGGAGGACACTGTGTCAAGGACTCGTGTCATTTATCTGAATAGGTGTTTGTTTGTCCTGAGGGCTCAATTATGTATTTACCTTATGACCCTGGACACTTAAAAAATAATCTGTGGCTCTTGAGATGAACCTTGGTTTGACAGGTCATAAAGAAGTACTCACAGTTAAATATCAGCGCCCATCCACTCTCACAAAGTTGTATTAAGATATTGAGTAATATGGGATTTTTTTTTCTGATCATTCTTCCAGCCTCCCTTGTGGCGAGCTAACTCTTTTCCGTTTCTGTTTCAGTCGTTCCCGTTCAGCAAGTCCAAACCGCAGCCCTACGCCAGCAGATGACTGAGTGAAGAAGACTATTAGTCCCACCCCCTTCCCCACCCACCCCCACTGTCCTTAACAGACAGACCCTCAGCCCCTGCACCATGTCTGCTTTTTACAGCCCTACAGCAGCTGATTTTTTGTACTTGTCTGTCTAGTCTCAGTCGTTAAAGTTTAATTTTCTCCCAAGGACTGTAGTCTTTTTGCAGCCTCCCATTGTTTAAGCTTTAGTCAGTATAGCAGACAGACATCAGTTTCCATTGGACAGGGATTATTTTAAATGTTCTTTCATCTGCTGCCAGAGGTTATCTTTCTTCTCAGAAGCTATGTAGCAAGTGTAAGAAGCAACAGTTACATTAAGGTAACACTGAATGTTGCAGTTGACTTTTAGCAGTGGTTTGGGCAGCTCATACAGTAAACTGCAGTTGACGAAAACCCCATTGATAGTTGTTGAGGGTGAGGACATTATATCAAAAACTGATTTTATTTCCTGTGCTTAAATTTGTGAACCTGGAGATATTTTCCCCCATTGAGAATTGGCATAGATATAATTTTTTGTATTGCACTCCAGTATGACTTTTGAGTTCAAATGCTGTTTGATGTTTCCACTCATAAGACATACTTACTGGCCTGCATGCCTTTATATATGATGTCACATTCCTACTGTTTGTTGTTTCTGTGCTGCACTGCCCTTTTTACAAACCTGATCAGCTTCACTGTGTGCTGAATAGATTTTTCCCCATGTGTTGATTTCTGATTTGTTCCTGTGACTTGATTTTAAAATAAATACTGTGCTCAAGTTTGATTTCTGTAAGGGCTGCTTGAACATTTTGGTTCTGTTTCTGGCTTATATGGTAAGACAGTGGCAGTTTTATTTTTGAATAAACCTCTTCAACAAATACCATTGCCTTTTTATTTCTCAATCACCTAAGTTTTATTTTAGTGTTAGCTGCAGGTTTTCATTAGAGATATATTTTATTAGTAGTGGTGACATTGGAGTTGTCTGTCAGTGCTCTTACTGTACTTACTGTGCAATTCTTTTAAAGAGAAGTTTTGAAATACAGGACAGCATGTAACAAACTCGGATATTATATTATACAAAACTGACAGCTACCAACCTAAAGGAACAAAAGTCAAAGTAATAAACATAACTCATTATGTTTGTCTTTAAACACAGCAGGCTCCAAAGTGTTATTAGATCTAAATGTGAAGCCAAAAATACACCTCAGGTTATTTAATAGATGCGATGTATACATTGTCAGATAATTGCTGTAATACCGCGTCAAAGCCTGTTTGTACTGTCTGTTCTGCTATTGGCTGTCACTCAAGTCACAAATAGATTGCGAGCTACCTCAGCCTATCACGGCATGCAGTGGCGTTGTGGTGGGCGTGGAAACTGGAGCTTCGTTTTTCTTGACTTTTCCGTCCATTTCAGTTCATCGTCACTACCACCATCCTTTTTAACCGGGACAACATGGCTACTGCAGCGAGCCGTTACTACAGCGAAGACGGCAGGGCAACGAAACGACAGAAAACCGACGGAATGGCCACGGTGAGTCGGTCATGTGTGAGCTGCATTGGAGATTAGTTTAACTTGCATAACACACCCGCCCGGCTCGGTTACAGTCTTCTTGGTGGGTTTTAATTCATTCAAATGAGCGGTGGTGAAAAAAAAAAAAATGTCACGACACGTCGCAGGTCGTTAAATGTGTTAGAGAGTAAAGGGTTGTCGTTCATAGCTTTTTATTAGCTTTATCGGTCTAACGTTGTATACGTGTGAGGTTAACAAGGACACATCTCGACACATAAATTGTTTGTGCTGTATAGGCTCGTTTGAGGGCGGTTTCCACGGCCGGGCCTTGTCTGAGCCCGGCTTTGTTCTAGCACCGGTAACGTTAGCAGCGTGCTAGCCGTGAGCTACACACAGTGGTCATTTTAAGATTAGGACCGGTCAGCATTAAACCAGCCGCTGCTTTGTGTGAAGTAACATTAGTGTGGTTGTCCATGCACGTTTGATTTAAAAAAAAAAACAAAAAACAAAAAAAAACATGCCAATTAGATTAGGAGAAATGCTGATTAAACATTACAGCTACACACCGCAATTAACTGCCCCCTCCCCCAGCTGCCCAGAGTAACCTGAGGTTAATTAGTGTGTTGTTTACAGCAAACGTGACCGAGGAACAAGAATAAGTAACACAATCAACCGATTATGAGAATACAAAATTATGTTTCACCCGTTCCTCCTAATTTATATGGCGGGAGTAGTGCTCATTCGTCAACAAAAAAGATGTTAGTAAGCCACCCCAAAAATAGAATAAAATGCATTTACACAACGTAACAAATACATACATCCACCACTAAATATTCCTACAGTAAAACATATGGTAGTTTGCCACCATCCATGCTAAATATGAGGACTGGATATCAGCACTGATATCCTGATTTTCTGATCTCGAGGGTTTGGTTCCCACAATCCGTAATCAAATCCAGAATCGATTCTTGAGCATTCTGCCAGATCAGATAAATACAAATGTTGCATTAAGCAATTCTCATATAATATCATGGGAATTTACATATACTCTGCATGCAACAAGTGAGCAACACCGTTATTTCCTTGAGTATAAAAGTGTGTAAAGAGCACATTGTAGGGTAACTTGAAAACTCATCTCCAGGTTGTAAAACTAAGAACTAAGGGTTTATTTTCTTTAGAAAATCCAAAATGACAAAACACATGGCCGTTTTAGATATATTAAGGTATACATGTTGCAAAACAGTTGAGCAAAAATATATAAAACCTGCAACTATACAAGGATGCCAGTAGCAAGTGAGTCAACTAAGACATTGCCTTCAGGAGAAGTGTCTTTCTTTCAGTCTGTTCCTGATGTGATGTCTAGATTCACTATGAGATAACCAGAGTCAGCTAACCACCCTGAGACACAACATTCCCTTAATCTGTAGCTGGTCCACATAGATGGTAATTATTCATGTTACAGTTTACAGGTCTGACATCAGTTGAGGTGGCGCTTATAGGGACCTAATTACTTTTTTAAATGTCAGAAGACTGTTCAAGACAGGTGACAAGGTGTAGCAGAGAAGGCTCCTCTCGTGCAACACTTATAAGTACTTTAAATAAGACTAGTAAATGTTAACGTCGAACATGTTCGCTAATTATATGTTTTCTTTGACACAGGGATATGAAGATCCACACAAGACTCTTCCATCTGTGGTGGTGCATGTCCGGGGGCTGGTGGATGGAGTTACAGAAGCTGACCTTGTAGAGGCTTTGCAAGAATTTGGAGCAATCAGGTAGAGAAAAAGAGCGGCTTCATTTGTGTGGAAGACATTTTAATAGAAAAATGCATCCTTTTCAAAGTGCAGATTAATAACAATAATAAGTTTAGAATACTTTTTTTTTTTTACAGGAAACTAGCTACAAATTTGGTATAGTTGAGTTCAAAGTATTTGCCTTTTTATCTAACCCCTTCATTACTCTTGTTTTTAGCTATGTGGTGGTGATGCCCAAGAAGCGCCAGGCATTGGTGGAGTACGAAGACATGAATGGATCATCCACAGCTGTAACCTATGCTGCAGACAACCAAGTTTACATCGCCGGTCACCCAGCCTTTATCAACTACTCCACTAGCCAGAAGATCTCCAGGCCGGGAGATTCTGACGACTCTAGAAGTGTTAACAATGTTCTTCTGCTCACCATCATGAACCCCATCTACCCCATCACCACGGTAAATGCAAAGATTTGAGCTGCTATGTGTCTCTCTACCAGAATTGTGGAGTAGTAGCCTGGTGTTAGTTAACCTCCATAGGGCTGCAGCAAGTGCCAGCTTCTACAACTGACAGACGTGTTATTGAAATGTCAATACTGTTAGTAGTAAACAGAGGCCTGTTAAAGGTTATGATCTATAGGTGAAAATCATTGACTGGTGTTTTAGATTGTATTTTCTGATTATACTACTCTGCTGCTCCTGGAGTTTGGAGCAGCAGATTATCTTCATTGTCATTCTGCCACTCAATTTGCACTACTTTATGACATCTTGTAAACTAACACCAATAATCTATAGTGCTGAATGTCTCTAAATTTATGTACAGTTTCGTTCATTGTGGAAATTGTGTTTTGTAAATGTGGCCATTTCTGTGAGAGGTAGTCTGGAAAAAAAACTGACATGCACAAGGAAACAAAATCCAGAGTCAAAATCAAATTGTTGCTCACAGGTTCACAGCAAACTTAAGTAGTGACTACTTTACACCTCTGTGCCTCTTAAACTGATGTCAGATCTCACTTTGATATAACCTTTGCTTCTGATTCTGTGTAGTGTGTATGTATACGGTGGTGTTTTTTTAAATTTTGTACATTTTCACAGGATGTCCTCTACACTATCTGCAACAACTGTGGTCCTGTCCAGAGAATTGTCATCTTCAGGAAGAATGGTGTCCAGGCAATGGTTGAATATCCTTTTCCATGGGTGCTATCTGACATGGGTGTGTCTCTGATCATAACTGCACTATGTCAAATACTAGTGTATTTCCACAACACTGCAAGTTCTAACTGAATGAACAGACAGGTTATTGGTGTTGTGACAATTTCCAATGTCTGTTTCAAGTTCAAACCTGTTCTGGAACCTGTAGACATTTCACGGATAAATTCTAAAAGCAGTCAAAGATGACTGATGAATGGCTTGATGTGTACATCCATAATTTTTTTTTTGGTATGTGCTGGCTAACTACTACCTGTGCACGAGAACAACAAAAGTGTGCCCTGCACACTGCTCTACTCTAGGTTGGAAAAAACAATACCTACGGAAGACTATTTGTGGTCAAAACATTGTGAAATCCCTGTAGAATTAAAGAGGAACTAGGAAGTAGATGGTGGTATGCAGGGGTTTTTTAGTCTTTCATGGTGTCTGGTAGTTTGCATCATTAAGATAACCTGGTAATTCCTGATTCATCCTTAACCCTGTCATTACATTTGACTCTGTGCAAAGTGCCCAGCGAGCCAAGGCATCACTTAACGGTGCAGACATCTATTCCGGCTGCTGCACGCTGAAGATCGAGTATGCTAAGGTACTACTGCAACACATTGCCTATGTTCTTAAACAAAATAGGTGCAGTGAACACACAACAGCATGAATACCTGCACAATATAACACAGCAGCCCTGCTGGGAGTGCTGGCTTTCTGAGTTGACGTTACACCCGTCCTTCTAAACAAAAGTATAAAGTAAATGTATAAATTAAGTGGCCATGGTTTGTACAGTGTGTTCATGCTCGTGTTCATCTGAATTATATTTTCGCAGCCCACTCGCCTGAATGTGTTCAAGAACGACCAAGACACCTGGGACTACACAAACCCCAATCTGGGAGGTCCAGGTAAAACCTCAAACACCTGAACACCACCCCAAACATTTGCTGAATGCCACACACTCTTTGTAGCTGAGAAGCCTGGTAGTGTTAAGCACTCTTACTGCCACTGTGGGGAGTTTCAGCAAGCGGGTTACTGGAAAGATGGAGACAACACCCTTCATTGATAATGCTGCTAATTAGACGGATTTTAAATTGTGCCCAGTATACAAATCTTGTATTTTGGGAAAAAGTTGTGTGGCATTATGACTGAAGTGTTGCTTTGGGTCTTACTCTAACACTTCTCAATACACACTATGATCAGGCGTCATAAGCAGGAGTGAAGAGTTTGAGACAGTCAGAGACATGATGTGAACAATATTCAGGTTAGATGGCTCATTACAATCCAACTCAATCAATAATTTTAGCATGAGATCAGAAATGGAAGTGCCACAATTGCAGCTAAATATTTTAAAGGTAAAGGACTCTTTACCTTCAAGGCTTTGTGGTGGGAATGGCAGAAACACATTTGCAGACAGAAACGTTAAA